TCAGTGAGAATGGTTTTAGATCATAACAGTTACAGTTACTCAAAATCTGTCTTTTACTGTAAGACTAAGACAATTGTTGCTTTGAAATAATGTGTTGGAACCTGATGCAGCTGACTAAGTGTCATGTATACTCACTTCTTTACTAGGAGAAGGAACCTTAAGTCATTTCTTTGTAATATATGCTATTCAAGATAACATTTTCTGGTTGCTGCTTATCAGGTATTTTTTAGACATTGGAAGTTAGACACTTCTTGCTGTACTGAATAGTAGCTTAATGACAAGTTTTTCATTAATCACTGAATGCATTTCAGTTTTAGTGCATGTCAGTGTTAATGAGCAAATTGCTGGGACCACCAGTTCTCTATTCTGATTATATATATAATTTCCTCCTTCCTGAAAGATACAAGACAGAGAAGAAAGAAAATGGTAAGTGTGTGGGGGTGTGTATAGATTGTAACTACTGAATTAGGTCAGTGTTACAGATTTGGGGGAGGTGTTTCTAGATGAGAAGGCGTTCTGGTTGGAATAAAGGAGTAGGGTAGAAGGTTAGATTCCCAAGACTAGAATTTTAGGCTAGAATCATGTCATAATCCTTGTGGTGAGTCAGTACTTATTAAGATTTTAAGAAGGCAGTTCCTAGAATCCTGTATGAAACCAATCAGTGATACCTTTCACCCTAAAACTGTATTGCTGCCATTAAGCCTTTTTGCAGTACAGCACTTGTGGTGAAAAAGCACATCAGTGAGATCCTGTTTAGAGAGAAACGTCATTCTATAAATGAATAGTTGTGTGATTGTTAACAAGCTCTGTTGTTACATGGTGGGTAGACTTGTATTCTGGCATTCACCATTACCACATGGCAAAGTAGATTTTGTGGCATATGTCCTCATTTGTATGTAACCAGAGTACTTCAAATAAAAGCAGAATAGGTCTGTGACCCTGGATAGGGCTTAGGTAATGCTCATGAATAATAAAGTGCATTTTGAAGTCTGCCTCTGTCACCTGGCATTTGCTTTTTTCTGAGGCTCTATATTTTAAGTAACCAATCTAGGAGAAAGGCTGTAAGTATTGGGGTATCGCAGTTGTTTTTGAAGAGGAGACTTTGAGAACTCAAATGAAAGCTGTTCTAGAAGTCAACTGTATTAGAAAATTATGTTTGCTCTTTCATCATTATATGCTAAAATGCCATCCTTTCTGTTTGCTGTGACATGTTATCCTGTAACAGGATAATGTGCCCATATTTGCTTCGTACCTAGCACTTACCAGGAACGTAGGTCTGACCTTTTTTTATTTCTGGCTTTTGAAGAGGTGCTTGATTTCTCCCCAAAACAAGATTAACCTCTTCTGCCACACAGCATGAGGTTGCTGGCTGTGGAAGCTGAGGTGAGGCTCACGTGTGCAGCTGTACTGGGTGCTGGAGCCTGGAAGCACAGGCCCCTCCTGAGGACAGTGCTGTGCTCAGTGTCCTCAGGCTGCTGGGACTCTTTGGAGTGCTTCTTGCACTGGGTGCTGCCTTCCAAATGGGGAGTCAGAAGAACTGCAGTTGTCTTTTCCTGGTGTTATTAAAATTCCAAGGAGTCAGGTGAAGCAAAAACTGGCTTTCGCTTATAATTTATTGGTAAATCAGGGTGACACAAGGAGATGGCAAAAGCATAGCAAATGGGAATTTGCTCAACTGGCAATCAAAAAGCAAATGTCAGTGGGATTCATTTGACTCAGCCTTCATAGCCTCGTACATGGCTTGATTAGCAATTGAGTAGTTAGTTTCTAATTTAACAGGTATCTGTCTCCATTTTGACCCTGTTTCAAAACATCTATTCAAAGCTTTGGATAGAGGTGTTAATTTTTTTTTTAATGTGGCTTACCATGCTGAATCCAAAATCAGGAATAGTAGAAATGAGATGTATATAAAAACTAATGCAGAGTATCCATTAGAATTCAGCTGGATACAGGGAGTTTGAATTGTTTCTGTTGGGCTGTCTCTGTGCTTCAAACCAAGGTGTCACTGCATCGGTTTACATGTGTTTATACATTATCAAACTAGTTAGAAATAGGTGTGAAGGCTGTTCTTGAGCTGAGCCAAACTGTACCTTGGTGTGTTGCAAATCCAAAAAATTGGAATTGAATAGTTTGAATTAAGTGATGGGAATTCAAAGTTTCGTGGTTAATTAGTACTAGAGAGGTTAAAGCAGTAGCATGTTCTCTGTGGGCATGCAGTTTGATGTTTTCTCTGAAACATAAATGGTTAAATGAGTGACTGAAAACAGGACTGGTAAACTGCTGCCTTCTCCTACCGTTTAAAATGCATAAATTGGATTATGATTACACTTACAGAAGTATGTTTATATACTCTGTAATTAGAAGGAAAATACCTGAGCAAGGATATCCTTGCAATTTAGAATATGCAGATACTACAACAATCAATTTACTGGAGATGGAGTGTTTTTAGTTAGCTGCAGAATGAGTGGAAGTTACTTTTGTATCTCTGAGGAGGGACAAGGGATGAACTCCTGAAGTTGGCCTTGTGTTATGCACATGGCCAAGCCAAGTGAAATTCTGAGGAAGCCCTGAAATACAGTTTTCTGGGAATATAATTTAAGTAATATACATGGAGAGTCATGATTAGACTCTTAAGCAAACAATCACTAAATAAGAGGAAGAAAATGATAGGTTAGTCCTTTATGTAAACGTTTTTTACTAGTATCAACAAAATATAAGGAAAATATACAGAACTTTGCTTTACTCTGTGAATTTGCATGATTTTGAATAAGTTGGATATTTCAGTAGTAGCTTTCATGTATTTCCTAGTTAAATTGTGTTACTTGCCTTGAGCAGAATGGAATTTGCAAGAATGCTTTGCCCACACCCTTGAGACAAATCTCAAGGTAAATCCACTCTAGTGTCAGTCAGTTTGACAGGAGAGCTGGAGTTTATCCTGGCTCCCTGGCTGGCATTGGGATGAATGCTCTCTGCCCTTGCAGTGTACCACTCCAAGCAATTAAAGAAACTGGAAATAATCAGTCTCTGTAAGTTTTGTGGGTTTTTGTTGTTGTTTCTTTTACTACTCCAAACCAGCTCATTTCATGATAATTCAGCCCAAAGCATTAGAATAAGAAAGGGATGAGATGGAGCAGCTTGCCCTTGGTGTAAGCAACTGTGGACACTTACACTGTGGTGTAAGCAGTCCGTGGACACTTCTTCCTGCAGTTAAAGCCAACCTAGACCAGGATTGGTGCTGAAATGACCAATTTTGCCCTTTTTCTGGACTTTGCTATCTTACTCCTTGTGCCAGCACAAGTTTTCATGTGGTGGTGTTGTGAACCAGATCTGTTAAGGAAGAATGGTGGTGGTTAAAGGAGGTTTATTGTGGTGGTGGTTGGCTTAGGGCTGCTGAAAGTGCAGTGTAAGTTGGCAGCAGTTTGATTTCACTGGTTTGTACAAGTACCTCAAAGCCTCCATCAGGTAGTGCAGGGGAACTGACTGCATTGAACTGCAGTAGACTGCAGTGTGTGTGTGTATAGATGTATGTGACAGGAAACTTAGTCTTGCTAGTACTTTCTTCCAAGTGATCTTTCTAAACCAGTAGAAAACAATTAAATACTCAGGAAGGCATTTTTTAAAAAGCTCCAATTACATGCCAAATACATTAATTTTAAAAGTTGTCTTTAAAAAGTCATTTCCTCCTAAAGAAAATTTCAAGTTGGTAATGCATTTGTTCTGCACTTAGTGTCTTACTAAGCTCTATGAATATGAATTCTGAAGGTTAGAGTTGGATTACAGTTGAGTGTTTTCAAAGAACACAACTTTATTCAAAAGTGAACATTATTTTAGTGACCTTATTAGAGCTCTCTAAATTCGTTGGTGCTGTGAGTATTGGAGACTGGGCAGGGTAGGTACAATGTGTTCAGTCAATTTTTATTGTATATGTAATGCCTTGCGAATTTGCACAGTTTAAGAAAGGATTTTAAAGTGTCTTGGAGGAAGATAACTGAAAATTAACTTGAGACATCACAATAAAACACTTATAAATATGCATAGTGTTACAACAGAATTTTGCTGTTTGAATCAGGAGCTTAGCACTGCCAAATGCCTCTTGCTGAAAGCTCATACAGCTCTTTCTACCACTTTACTTGGCTTTTTAACTTTCAGAGTACTGTTGTTGGTTTTTGTGGTGCTTGGAAATCTGAGTTGCTCTGGGAAATTACATCTCATCTTCTACGAATTACACAATGCCCGGTGTTATAGGGTGAAATTGCTCTTATAACTTAATTCAGCTCCTTTTGTCTGTATATAATGCAATGAAGTTGAAACACATAACAAATATTGAACTCTTGCTATCATGATTACAAGTTCAACAAATCTGATGTCACAGTTTTCTTCACATAATCTGCTAAAGTGCTTGGTGGTGAGATGGTGGGCTTTGCAGTGGGGCTGCAAGGCCAGAGAACCCAGGCTTTGGTAGGCAGGTGCTGGAGAAAGGGAATACAGGTCAAATTCCCTGGGTGAATACTGATGTGCTAATGGAAGTTTGGCTACAGGGTGTCAGTCTCAGCTGAGGCAGAATCAGTCTCTAACTCTCAGACATCTGCAGTTAAGCAGTGTCAGGAGAAGATATTGGAAAAGATGACAAATTTGGCTTTTTAGGCTTGTAACCAGGTCATTTCTACCATAGACCGTGAGCAGCACCAAGAATTCAAGTTGAAAATCTACTGTAGTGATTCAGGCACAACAGTCAGAGTAAACAGCTGCATTTTTGATGTGTATCAGTTTCTCAGAGGTGTAAAGGTGATTATCAGTGTAATTTTTACTCAGAACGTTAAAATCATGTCAAATATGTCAAATGTGATTTTGTCAGTTATATTCTATAAAGAGGAATACTAAATCTAAAATAAGAGATTCTCTATAGCAGTGTATTTGTTTTCATGGTGTTATTTTCCAGGTGTGGATTATGTTTATATGGATGTGTTAATACAGCGTATTTCTTTTTTTTCCACCTACAGGTTATGCAATGGTCTCTGCAAGATGTCATGTTCTTGAGTTGGAGCTTTTTAAGGCAAGCATATGCTGGTACTTCAACTTAACTAAGTGGACTATAATTTCTTCTCTCACATCAACTACATAAGCAGACAAAATTGCAAAGATCTGCCCTGTGTCGAGTATGACAGCCACGACTCGTGGCTCTCCGGTAGGAGGGAATGATAGCCAGGGCCAGGCTCCTGATGGACAGTCCCAGCCTCCCCTCCAGCAGAATCAGGTACGGTATTAACAATCAAGTTGTCTAAAAATAAAGGATTTTGCTCTTTGGAAATAGCGTTTCTGAATTATTTGAATTTGTATATTCCTGGAGATGTCTAGTAAAGTTAGATATTTTTGTGTGTGTGTCTGGAAGTACAAAAACATTTTGAGGGATGAAGGCAGTTCTACTGGCAAATTAGACACTGCATTGCAAAAAATGCTCGCTTTCCAGACAGTGGCATAGTTCCTTCAAGCATATGTATTTTGGATAAGGAGCCTCCTTGGAATGATACCAGAAGCTTCCTCTGAACCGCATTGTTGACTTACCTGCCACGGATTGGCAGAACTACTCTCTGTGAGTTCGGTTCATGCTCAGTTCTGCAAAAGCACTTTCTGGATACAAGAGCTTACATCCAGGTGTCAGCTCTTCCAGAGCAGCTGCATCCAGGTCTCTGTTCATTGTACAAGACTTCCTGAACAGCTTTGTGTGTTTCTGTTGAACGGGTTATCTAGCTTTCAAAAGACAAGCAAAAGCTTTTATATACTATATTATAAAGTGATGATTCTTTTTTGTTGAGGAAAAAAATGCCAGAAAAGGCACTTTTAAACAGTGCAGCTAAAAGCGTTTAAAAGAAGAGAGACACTTTGTCACTTAATCCAGTATGAATATATCATTATTTTTTAATACCATAAGGTTTAATGGTTGCTTCTTCCTGAGAATAAATTGTACTTTGCAATGTGTGTGGTGGGCTGACCCTGACTAGCAAGGAAGTCTCCACCCTGTCGCTCACTCCCTCTGCCTCAGTGGGATGGGGGAGAGAATCAGAAGGAAAAAGTGAGAAATTGTATGGGTTGAGATAAATGCAGTTTTATAAATGAAGGGGTGAGGGGGAAACAAGTGATGCAAGTGCTGTCACTCACTACCAGCTCATGGAGGCCCATCTAATCCCCAAGCAACAGCTACCTCAGGGAAAAAACCCCTTTGTTTTATTGTCAAGCATGACATTACATGGCATGGAGCACTTCTTTGGTCAGGTCAGGTCAGCTCTCCCCACTGTGTCCACTCCCAGCCTCTTGCCCTGCTTACTGCTGTGGGGGCAAAGTGGGAATGACAGGATAGTTAAGGTTGGAAGGGACCCCTGGTGTCATCTAAATCCAACCTCCCTGCTCTCAAGCAGCATCCCCTTCACCATGTTACTTGGGATTGTGAGCAGGCAGCTTTTGAGTATCTCCAATCTGGGAGACTCTGTAACCTCTCTAGTCAGTCTTTTCCAGTGAATGGTCACCCACGCAGTAAAGAAGTTCTTCATATTCAGATGGAACTCCCTGTGTTTCACTTTCTACCTGTTGCCTCTTGTCATGTTGCTTGGCACCACCAAGAAGACCCTGGTTCTGTCTTCTTGGCACCCCCCCACCTTTAGATATTTGCACACATTGATGTGTTCCCCTCTCAGTTGCCTCTTCTCCAGGCTGAACAGGCCAAGCTCCCTCAGCCTTTCCTCATTTCTGAGGTGCTTCAGTCCCTTAATTATCTTTATCATCCTCTGCTGGATCTGCTCCAGGATCTCCAGGTCTCTCTTGTGCTGAGGAGCCCAGAGCTGGACACAACACTCCAGGTGATCCTCACCAGGGCTGAGCAGAGGGGCAGGATCACCTCCCTGACCTGCTGGCAATGCTCTTCCTAATGCACCCCAGGATCCCATTGGCCTTCTTGGTCCCCAGGACACTCTGCTGGCTCCTGGACAGCTTGTTGTCCATCAGGACCCTCTAGTCCTTCACAGAGCTGCTTTCTAACAGGTCAGCCCTCAGCCTGTCCAGGTACCTGGGGTTATTTTCTCCAGCTGCAGGGTCCTGCACTTGCCTTTGTTGAATTTCAGAGAGTTCTTCTCTGCCCATCTCTCCAGCCTGTTGAGGTCCTTCTGAAGGGCTGTGCAGCCCTCTGGGGTATTGGCCACTCCTCCACCTTTGTGTCACCAACAAAGTTGCTGAGGAGGCACCTCCCACTTCACCCGTCATTGATGAGTAAGTTAAACAGTCCTGGGCCCAGTATTGAACCTTGGGGGACACCACTACTGACAGGCCTCCAACTACACCCTGTGCCACTGATTACAGTCCCCTGGGACCTGCCATGTAACAAGTTCTTGATCCACTACAGTGTCCGCTCATCCAGTCCACACTTCCTCAGTTTTCCTAGGAGGATGTTGTGAGAGACAATGTCAAAGCCTTGCTGAAGTCCAGGCAGACAATATCCACTGCTCTCCCCTCATCCATCCACATAGTTTTTTCATCATAGAAGGCAATCAGGTTGGTTAAGCATGATTTACGTTAAGTGAATCCATGCTGACTACTCCTGATTGCCTTCTTTTATCCATATGGACAGAGAAGGCTTCCAGAATGAGCTACTCCATCACCTCTCCAGGGATTGAGGTGATGCTGGCTGGCTGGTAGTTCCCTGGGTCCTCCTTGCCCTTTTTGAAAACTGGGATGATATTTACTTTCTTCTAGTCCTCGAGTGCCTCTCCTGATGGCCACAATCTTCCAGAGATAATCGTGAGTGGTTCATTGTGGTGTGTGCCAGTTTCCTCAGCACTGGGGTTCATCCCATCAGAGCACATGGACTTGTGGATGTGAAGTTTAATTAAATGGTCTTTATCTAACCCAGTCTTCTCAACCAAGGTGGGAAGGTCTTCCTTCCTCCAGACCTCCTCCCTGATCTCCTGACTCAGGGATTCCCGAGGACTGGCCTTGGCTGTGAAAACTGAAGCAAAGAAGGCGTTCAGTATCTCTGCCTTCTCTGTAGCCTCTGTTGGCAAGGATCCCTGTTCCATTCAGTAGCAGGACCACATTTTCCTTAGTATTTATTTTGGTTTTGGTGTATTTGAAGAAGCCCTTCTTGTTATCCTTGACATCCTTAGCCAGATTTAATTCCTAACGGGCCTCAACCTTCCTCATTGCATTTCTGCGTACACTGACAACGTCTCTTTATTCATCCTGGGTAGCCTTTCCCTGCTTCCATCTCACCTATCTCTTGCCTGTGTCTGAGTTTTGACAGGAGTTAACAAGGAGAAACACAAGGCCTTGAATCTATGCCAGTGCTGTTCACCAACAGACAAAACACTGATGTGTTTTCCTTGCTGTTTTGGTCACAAATCCAAAACCCAGCACTGTGAAAGGTGCTGTGAAGAAAATACACTCCGTGCCAGCCAGATGTGATACAACAGGTGGAAAATGTACTTGAGGTTTTGTCCTCCTAAATCTTGCTATTCTGATTTGAACCTTTATTATTGTCAGTTCATACTATTTGTATGTGTGAATAAATGACATCTGTAAAATACATTGTATTTTGCATGGCCCATCAAAATGGACTTGACTTAGTCATGTTCTTGAAGGTTGGTTAGTAGACAATTACAGTAGTAGGTCATTCATTTTTAGCAAACTTTTAAGAAAGTGTTTTTCATTGTTATTTTCCTCTGTACTGCTGCTCAAGGTTGTATCTCTGCCTAAAATAGTCATCTTTTCTGCAGAAGATTTGTACAAACTGGAGCTCCCGTGTATTTATTTCACCTTCTAGATAGGTGGTCTGCTGAAAGTAGAAGTCTGTTAAAATATACCCCACTTTCCTCACTGGGAATTGTAGCTTATTTTTTAAACTATCAGCATAGAAAGCATATATAGCACATTTTATGCTCTATTTTTTGTTAACAAATCTGAAATCGAAGGATATTATGTTGACACGTGCTTACTTCAAATGAATCTTTGAAACACAATATGAAGGAAAAATGCCAAAACAAGTGCAGGCAGTATTTAAAGTATTTTCCCTACCAATTTTAGACTTCTTCACCTGATTCTTCCAATGAGAACTCCCCAGCTACCCCACCTGATGAGCAGGGCCAAGCTGATGCTCCACCCCAGCTTGAAGATGAGGAGCCTGCATTTCCACACACAGACCTGGCAAAGTTGGATGACATGATCAACAGGTATTTTCACACTGTCTTCAGAGGGTGTAGATTATTTTTGCAAATAGCTTGGTAGTGGAATCAGGATTTTTACATCTTTCTTTCTCCGGATTTCTTGAAATGTTTTTTTTAGTTGAGTTAAAGTTGTAAAGAGAAAGGCTCAAAGCAGAGTAGGATTTTGTTTGGGTTGGGTTTGGATTTTTTTAGTGTAGTACTCATCAGGACTTTAAAATGTATATACTTAACCGATATTAAAAGCATTACTAAAGGTCAAGGATTCTTGATTTTTCAGAAGCACAACTGAAATTTGGGTTGATTTTGTTTTTGATTTTAGGCCTCGATGGGTTGTACCTGTATTGCCGAAGGGGGAATTAGAAGTTCTTCTAGAAGCTGCTATTGACCTAAGTAAAAAAGGTAAACTGAAAAGACAATTAATGATTATTGGACAAGTGTGTAAAGTCTTTTCTTGATCTTTTGAAGCCCTAGTGGAGGCTTAAAAATTCTTAATAAATTCAGTGTTTCTGTTACAACTCTTACCCTGAAGATTGTTAGATTGCTATGCAAAACCTTCACAGATCAGAAATTTTAGGAAGGCATTAATGTAGTTAGAAATTAGGTGCCTTAGCATGAGTAGGAAAGTTGAATAAGCTCATAGACCTAAAAATCCTGTCATTCCTGTCATACCTGTTTTCTGTTTTCACTTTGATATCAGACTTAGTGGGTTTGGTCTTTATAACAGGTACTGAAACTCAAAGAATTCTGGTTGTTTGTTTGTTGTTTTTTTTTAATATAAGTTACTCGTCTAACTTTCAAATATCCTGCTGTAATTTTTTGTTCAAATTTGGCATGCACTTACGTTTGAGAATATTAGAGAAAATTTAGAATTTTAAGCAGCATGGCTTAGGCTAATAGTCCTACCAGTGCTTGTTATGTCTGATTTGGAAGTAGGAGGGCTCCATATCAGGACTGTGGATGTGTTTGCCAAATTGTACAAGTCAGATTGACAAGTTCTTCATGTGTTCTGGAAAGTGCTGTCCTCCTGGGAAGTGGCTTTGGTCTCCTATTCCAGTTAGTGTTTGTTACCCCAGTGCTTGAGTAATACTGAAAGTAGATAAAAATAATTTTTTAGGTTATCTGCACTTACCATCTAGTTGTGTCTCAAATATAGTGTCATACAAAGTGTCTGTTCCTACTTTTGCATGCTGCTGGCCCAGGATGACTTCATTTCCATGTTAATAAAAGTTAAACAATTTTAAGGCAGAAAAGCTGTTTGTGGTCATGATATTCTGGGTTATTTTGATTGTTAAGTATTTCTTGCTTTGGAGCACTCTCTGAAGAAACAAATCTTAGGGTGCATCTTTATGATCCAACACAGGATGATGACATCGCTGCTGACTTATCAGCCGTAGTTGTGCTTGTCATCGGGGGCTTTATGTGTAGCTGGTTCTGGCAGGAATCCTGAGGCGAGTGTAGGATGTTCAAGTGATTGCATCTGTTCAGGAGCAAAAGAAATGCCAGCTTACCGAGAGAAAATGAGCCACCTTTGTGTCTGGGTTGTTGGAACAGTGCAGTAAAGAGAAATTCTCTGCTTGTGATTTGCGGGAGAGGAGATGTATGTTCTGCCAGCTGTTAAGTCATCTTTAAAAAAACAGAAATCAAAACCAAGAAACTGTCAATGCAATGAAGTAATAAGAGCAAAATGAGAGTTTTAGCTACTCCTAACATCAACTTACTTCCCCAAAGCATTGGCTTAGTTGAAAGTTCCAAACAAAAACCTTGTTTTTCCTTTTGAAGTTGTTAAAAGCAGTGGAAATGTATTCATATGCTTTATGCACTTCAATTTTTATTAAGTTGTTGGTGTCCAAATCTAAAAGGTACTTCTCTGTTGCTATTTAATTATGTTTTCTCCTGCCCTCTAGATGAATTCCTATGTGTGTACGTATGCAAGGATTATTGGATAAGGAAAAAACAAGGAAAGCTGTTAGAAGTAGTTGTTTAACTGTGTTATCTTTACAGTTACCTCCTAGATTTTTTATTTTTTCTTTGCTACTTGAAATTACATGATGGCTAAGATGGTTCTTTTTAAATAACTTCCAGTTCTCAAGGAATATGATAGGGCGTCACTTGGTGTAACTGGCACTGTTTTGGTAGCTCAGAACTTGGCAGACCCTGTGTCAGAGCAGTGTATGTATAGAGAGGTAACAGAAGTGATTCTGTTGTGTACATTTCTTAATAGATTGAAGATGTGTTCCATTACCGGGGTAAGATCTAAAATTGGACACCTTGCTACCTGTCTGTGGGAATTTTTCATATTCCGAGGAGTTCTGTTTCAAAAAGGAGGAACTGAAAGGAGAAATAGAAAAATAACCAGCTTTTGAAATACATAAGCTCTGTATTTCAGTCTGTATCTCATTTAAATTGTGAAACAACAGAACCTAGAAAGAGCCCACTATGGTTTTTTTGTCAAGCACCATTTTCTGGTGATTAGGGTTCTTGAATAGCTTTTATTCCTAACACAGCCAGTGGCCCTCAGCATTCTGGAGTGATTCTGGGTAACTACTTTGTGACCCTGTCTATAAAATGAGTGATATTTGCATCCTCTTTAAATCTTTCCAGGAACTAAAATTGAAAGGGACATAACTGAACTAATTGAAGGTAGTAGTGAGAATTAAATGCAAGTGCAAGGAGCAAATTTGACAGAGTAGCATAAATCCTGTCTAGACTGTGACTCGCATTATTTTTGGCAGGTGCATTTATTTATGGAAAATTCTCTTTTTATGTGTAGGCATCAACGTATTATTCGTCATTAAACAAGCCATGAGACTATCAAATAATAGTCTGGAGTTATTTGCTTATAGAAGAAAACCTATTTGGAAAATACTATTTAATAGCAAAACTGATGTTTATCCTCACAACAGTCCTGAAATACTTACAGAGTGTTTTCAGTAATGAGATTTGCTCCAGAAATAAAGGTCATAGTGAGTTGGACGCTATAAATTTTAAAGCGAAAAGAAAAAGTTTGTTTGGTTTGTTTCAGGGTTTTTGTTTTTTATAGACCTCTCTTTCAAAAGGATTTTATTACTCCTAGTGTTTGCACTCAGTGTTTAACATGCTGCCAGAACTTTCCAATGTGACACACTCAAGCAAGATGCAAGGCAATTTTTGGAATTTGTAGCTTATTTAAACTGGAAAGAGACTTCACTGCACAGCGTAAACCTTGAGACTTGGTCCCAGATCTGTGTTTTTGATGAATTACAAAGGTTTACAGAGTGGTAAAGAGAGGCCTTAGTGCCAAAAAAAAAAATAATTAGTGTGTGCATGTGCATCCAAAAATTAGGCAGCCCAATAATAGGAGTTGTTGCCAACATCCACTGAAGACTATCTCCATCTCTTTCCAGATGATTCATCTGCATTTCTGTGGAACCACTCCGAGTTCCTTTCTGAAGCTGTATCTTCTGCATTTCCTTGAAATGGTTGTTTTTACCCCTCTTCACTCACTGATTTTTACTGTTAAAAAGTAAATAGGAGATAATATGAAGAAGAATGGAGGATAAAGATTGTACTTATTGTTATTTTTGCTAGTGTATCTGCATGTTGCAAACATGAGAAAAAACCCAACCCCCATCACATCTTTTTAAAAATAACTTAAAAATCATATAAAGGAGTGTAATTTTTTGAGATGGCTTTACTAGAACACTAATCCATCAAGTTTTTTGTCCATTCAAGCTTATGTAAGTTTGTCTTCACAGAAAGCTTTTTTAAAAATTAATTCTGAAACTTTAAACACCAAACCTTTGAAGTCCAAATGTTGTGATTTAACCCCAGCAAGCAACTCAGCCCCACACAACCTCTTGCTCACTCTCCCCTGCTAGGATGGGGGAGAGAATCTGAAGGGTAAAAGTGAGAAAACTCGTGGAATGAGATAAAGACAGTTTAAGAGGTAAAGCAGAAGCTGTGTGTGCCAGCAAAGCAAAACAAGGAATTCATTCAGCACTTCCCACGGGCAGGTGTTCGGCCATCCCCAGGAAAGTAGGGCTCCATCACAGGGGATGGTGGCTGGGGAAGACAAAGATCATCACTGCAAATGCACCTCCTCCCTTCTTCTTCCCCCTGCTCTGTGTGCTGACCATGACCCCATGTGCTCTGGGATATCCCTGTGGGCAGTAAGGCTCAGCTGTCCTGGCTGTGTCCCCTCTGTACTCCTTGTGCACCCCCAGCCTACTTGCTGGCAGGGTGGTGTGAGAAGCAGGAAAAGCCTTGGCTCTGTTATTGCTGCTCAGCAGTAACAAAAACATCCCTGTGTTATCAACACTGTTTCCAGGACAAATCCAAAACACGGCCCTGTAGGAGCTACTGTGGAGAAACCAACACCGGCACACCAGATCTCTTCTCTCAGCATTTAAAAAGTCCATGTAACAGCTACTGAAATTCCACATTTTGATTGTTGTTTTTCTTTTCTATTTTAAAATAGGCCTTGATGTAAAAAGTGAAGCATGCCAGCGATTTTTTCGAGATGGGTTAACAATATCCTTCACAAAAATCCTTACAGATGAGGCAGTGAGCGGCTGGAAGTTTGAGATTCATGTGAGTTTTTAAAGTTGTGTTTCTGAAAAGGATGGTAATTTAAATAGGGAAAGAGACTGTAAAATCTGAATTTCACTTTTGAAACTCAGCAGTGAAGTGTAAGAAGACTCTTGTATGCAGGGATAGGGGCAGGCAGAGGGGAGTCACCTTTCTGTCATTGTTTCACTTTATGGCCTCCAGTGTTTTTGGAAAGAAAAAAACCATGAGAGATGATACGGGGAGGAATGGAACCATGTATGTTTGGTAGTGCAGCTCTTTTTGGCTGGCTGTCTTTGGCCAGATGTTTTTATATACGTGCTAGGACATAAAGGTTTTAGCAACCTGCTGACTCCTGAGTGTTTGTAGCAGCTGCTTGAACATAAAAATTACCTGCTGGACAGCTAGATACATGCTAAGTGAGAAACTGTAAAGATCTTTGTAGGCAAATTTAAAATCTATAAGAAAAATGGGAGAAGAAAGGAAAAGTTAATAGTACAGTGGTGATGTGTGAATGTCTCATCCAAAAACATTTGTCTCTTTTCCCTAAATTTAATTTCTGGCTGAAAACAGATAGTTTCAAGTTTGTTTAAAGCCTTTGTTGGAGGAAGTACAAATTAAAATACAGTGTTGTAAATCTCTTGTGCAACTCTTGCATGCTAGGTACAGATGGTTCAGAGTTTATAGTTCATATTCATTGTACAGTCACCTGCCATGTTCTTAGTTGTTGTTTTTTTCTTAACAGAGATGTATTATTAACAACACTCATCGACTAGTGGAACTATGTGTGGCCAAGCTGTCCCAAGATTGGTTTCCCCTTCTTGAACTTCTTGCCATGGCCTTAAATCCTCACTGCAAATTCCATCTATATAATGGTACTCGTCCCTCAGAAACAGTTCCTGCAGGAGTCCAGCTCGCTGAAGATGAACTTTATGCCCGTCCTCCTGACCCACGATCACCAAAGGTATGAGAGCCTTTTCAGACTGTGGTTTTAATTTCATGCAGTGTTAACTAATGACACAGTAGCTGTAGAGAAGTGTTTTTAGAGGGAGAGGGGGAAAAGCTGCCTTTATTCTCTTTATCTCTGAGATGTTCCTCTGCTTATGACTCCTGGTAGTGATTTAAGGTGCAGTTCCCCTTCTAACTCCTCCCATCTTTGGTCCACAATCAGATTGTGCCATGTGTTTCTGTGATAAGCTGGCACAGCTCTCTTGGAATGCTATTCCCACTGTGTTAATTGGCTTGCTTGGGTTTGCCAGTTGATGGATTTGCCTTCTCACTTAACATGATTTTGTAGATAGCACATTTTGAGGAGGGGATTATGTGATAAAGTAGGAATTTTCTCTGCATTTTCTAATAGTTTCCAATGATGGGAGAAATGTTTTTAGTTGGACATGGGATGCTAGTGTCTGTGGGTTTTGGGGTGGGTATGAATGAAGGTTTGGTTTTGAGGTTTTTGTTTGGTTGTGATTGTTTGTTTGTTTCTGTAGGTGTGGTTTCTTGGGGTTTTGTTTTGCTTTTTTTTAATGGGCAGTGCAGATTAGCAATTTTCTGGTTCCTGGCTCTGAACTTTTTCAAAATTGAGCTCCAAGTGGCATTGATATGACATCAGGAGTTAATTACATTTTTTTGGCTTTCTTCCTTTTTTTTTTTTCCTTAGTAGAACTACCAGCTGTTAATATGTAAGAACCAAAGATAAAGAAGTACTAGGACTTCCTGGCATTGCTAGTGCTGTTTAGAAGAATGTTATTTTGCATTTTTAATGTCTTTATATGTGGCATTATCACATCCAGGGCCAAGAGAAAGTACCAAAATTGTCATGCTTTCTCTAGTAACTCAGCAGCCAAAGCAGAACCTGAAGTATAGTCAGTTTTATTCCTATGTATTTGATAAATTTCTTTGAACAGCATCTGTTCTTTGACATGATAACAGGAAAGATCTTGTTGCCTGTTTTTAAGCATTTCCTTAAAAATGAAAGCTGTTGTGTAAAGACTTTTTTAAAGCAAATTTTTGTTATTAACAGGTACTTGTAAGTATTTCTAGGTGGTAATTTGTAAATGTCAGAAAATAATTGTTTGTTATATTGCAGGGTTGGCTTGTAGATCTCATCAACAAGTTTGGCACATTAAATGGATTTCAGATCTTGCATGATCGCTTCATGAGTGGATCAGCATTGAATGTTCAGATCATTGCAGCTCTCATCAAGTAAGTTTTTTTTAAATAAAAAAATATTCTGTTAGCACAAAGCTTAGTCTTTTTTTGAAGCACTTCCCCTCACTCCATCTCTTAGCTGGTTGTGTTTACCTTCACCGTTTCATGTACTTCTAAGTAGACATGAGTTTCTTGAATTAATTGCACTGTACTGTCATGATATTACACAAGTACTGATTATGGCACTTACCCCTTTTTCTTTCTTTTCTAGGCCATTTGGACAATGTTTTGAATTTCTAACATTACATACAGTGAAGAAATATTTCCTTCCAATTATAGAAATGGTTCCACAATTTTTAGAAAATTTAACAGATGATGAACTGAAAAAAGAAGCAAAGAATGAAGCCAAAAATGATGCTCTGTCAATGATAATCAAATCTCTAAAGAACTTAGCTTCAAGAGTTCCAGGACAAGAAGAAACTGTAAAAAATTTAGAAATATTTAGGTTAAAAATGATACTTAGGTAAGATGCTACTTCTAATATGATATGCCACTGCTGACATTTTTTTCCACACTTCTTACATTAAATCTCTCTCACAGGTTGTTACAAATTTCCTCTTTCAATGGTAAAATGAATGCACTAAATGAAGTTAACAAAGTAATATCCAGTGTGTCATACTATACTCATCGACATGGTAATCCTGAAGAGGAAGAGTGGCTTACAGCTGAAAGAATGGCAGTAAGTTCTCCTTTTCACTGAAGTTCATTGAATAGATTTTGTTTCTCCTTATTACTTTAATTATAGAAGTAGCTGTATACTGTGGATACAGCACACACTGCTTATGTTCATATCTAGTGTTAGAAACAGTAGGTGTCATGTGAAGGTAATAAGTCGTTTTAATAGTAGCCTTTCTGTGAAAAAAAGGTTGTATTTGTGTCAAAGCTGCTGCTAAAAACATTCCTCAAAGATAGATCCTTGAGTATTGTGTGTTTTATATAGTGTTTTAAAAAACCCAAACAAACCTACATAAAAAAAAAAGTGTGATTCCTTTGAAACTTCAGTACCACAGTAACTGGAAATTTAATGGTCATTTAAATAAGGATATAGTCCGAGTTTTGTGGTCCAGCCTTTTCTCTTTAGAGTTCCAAGTGACTACTCTGCTTTTCATATTTCGGAAACTGGATTCTGTGGTACAGAAAGTTCTAGATACCACATTTTTTTTTGTTTAGTCTTTACATATTTTGAATACTGTTGCTTGAATGTATACATAGGGAACTATGAAAATGAGTATTTATAAAGTTAAGAATGATTTTCTCTTCATCTTTGTGAAATTTAGTCGTGTTAAGTTATTTTTTTAGTGTTCTGCCCTGTTGCTGTGACTGGCCACCTGTTGTGAGGTTTGTAGTTTACAAAAGGACATCTGACAAGAAAGAATAACTGCAGTGTGATTTTTTTTAAAGCAGTAGGAGGAAATAGGTCTCTTTTTTGCGTATTCCCTACAGTTTGGCATCTCAGACAAGGCCTGTGTTTTTAAATGAAAACTTGTAGATTTAAGTATTTCATGAAACTCTAGATTGAATGTTGTAAGTCTGTAATCAAGGAGACTGTTGGAAGCTGTGGTGCTGTGGATGTTTGTTTTCTCTTTTGGTGTTCACAGCAAACCCTCCTTTACTTCAGCTGGAACAAAACAGTCTGACCGTGTCAGTGACACCACTGAAAAAATTGCGTCTTCCTAAATATGACTTGAATATTTGTCTCTAATTCAATTAGAAGGATTTCAAAGCCTATAAGTGGCAGCACTGAAATAATCTAATCTTTATATTTCAGTCCTTATGTCCTTTTTATGGGATATGCTGTAGGCATAGCAGTAAAGTTAGAAGTGTCTTAAACAGTTTGGTTTTGATATTTAATGACTGAATTGGAATGTAAAAATTTTGTTCCTTGAATAGAGGCGTTAACTGTTCTTCACATTGACTTCTTATGTTTGAAGTCGTTTGAACATTTTTATACTTTGAGTTCATGATTTTAATATGCCTGAAAAAAATTTCCCCTTAGGATATCACAGTGATGAGCATAATGGATTATTTTTAATGCTGATTTTTTTTTTTTAGGAGGAAATTAAAGTTAGGGATAAATACCTTCCCCTTGTGCTATATTTCTCTTGCTTAATCTGTAACAGGTTGAATTTTTTCTTTGTACTTTAAATGTCAATGATGGCACCTGAATAATTTGAGATGGCACTATTTTTTTTTTTTATATTCAGGAATGGATCCAGCAGAACAATATTTTATCAATTGTGTTGAGAGATAGTCTTCATCAACCTCAATATGTAGAGAAGTTAGAGAAAATTCTCCGTTTTGTCATCAAAGAGAAAGCCCTTACTTTGCAGGATCTTGACAACATTTGGGCTGCACAGGTAAATAATTCAGCTGCTCGTCTGCTACTGCACGAGAGGGATGTTGTTGTATGTCATGTATTGAGAAGACAACCTGGGCTTCTTTTGCTTAGTGTTTGACAAAACTGAAGAAAAAATTGAAATCAAATAGTGTTCTTTTTTGGGGTCCTGGATCTCAAAACTGTCTTCTCAAATGTCTTCAGCGGAAGGGATCAGCTGCACACATATGGAAAGTCTAAAGGAACAGTTCAGAACATGGTGCAAAAGTTACTCTTTCTAAGTATTAAGGAACCCGCAGTGTCGAGCAAAGACGTGATAATGATACTCTTAATGCATTTTAAAATATGAAGTTATGTGTTGTTGATCTCTGAGTTCACCACAGTTGTGTAAATTTTTCCTGGGCAGAGCATGATTAGTAAGACTTAAATAATAATATAATGATGATAATAATAATAATGACTGTTCTAGAAGTTGTTTAAGTGCAAATTCTTTTCTTTGTGTTGTAAAGATTATTTTTGAAAAATTACAAATTTTGCAGTATTGACTTGTTTACTTAAATGATTGGTGAAGCTGGTCTTCCTAGCTGCAGGTTGCATGAGTTTAATACACAGAATGGGCAGCTGAAGAGACAGAATCATTTAGAATTATTGACAATACAGAAATAAAAAGTCATTTTAGGATAGAGAACAAGCACAAGTACATAGATCCTTTTTCATAAATAATGGGTAGTGAAAGTGATTGTAGGAGTAAGCCCTCAGGCCAGTCTTTCAAGTCTGGGAAGGCTAAATCTGATTAACAACACAGAGAGCTGTACTGGTTTGGGCAGGGACAGAGTTAAATTTCTTCACAGTGGCTTTTGTAATAACTGTGTAAGTAAGGCAAAAGATTTACCTGTTGATCTCAACCCACAAATTTTCTCACTTTTACCCTCCTGATACTCTTTCCCCATCCCGCTGTGGGTGGAGGGTGAGTGAGCAGCTGCATGGAGCTCAGTTGGCAGCTGGAGTTACACCATGACAAGAGCTAATACAGGAGTTGGGTGGTATTATATCCATAGTTTACATGTGTTCATGCTGTTCTGAAAATGTAACAGTTTGGCTTAAGTGGACTTTTCCAGATGTCCCTGTACTACTTTCAGGTTGCACTTCAAACACTTGGGACTGGTTCAACTAAATTCATAATGTCTAGACTTCAGTTCCATCCTGATAGTAACTGCACAGGCTGAAACTCAATAAAGTCTTTTCTCCATTATCCCAAAGCCCTGTTCAGAAAATTGCATCAGGTAGCAGAGCAATACACAGATTTACTTGAATTAGGGTCTGTGATTACAGTTACTTTTTAGCTTGTGATCTGTAGATACTTCCAGACTACAAGGTGTCTGTGGGGCAAAAAAAAGAAACTTTGAGAGGTTAGTTTGCTGCTAGTAGGCTTATTTTAGCTGTATTAGATCCTCACTTTTGATAGCAGTTTTGCCCTGTATTTTTTTGTGAGGAAAAATTTATTTGTGAGAAAGTAATTCTTATTCAGGTAGGTGGTTTCACTGCGGCTTTAGCTATGGAATTAAAATAGACTAAAAATTAAGAATACTGAAATCTGCTAGTACAGAATAGTACAGAATGATTTTTACCAACTTCACTACTCCCTGTGTACAGTAGTTTTTAGGAGTTCTTATTAAGTGACTGTTGTAAGAGCAGCTGGAGCATGAAATTCAGTAGCGAGGAGTTGATTTACTGTGTAGCTTTATGTAACAGGCAGGTTATTTTAGCTCGGCCTCTGCAGCAGTGGTGAGGTTTTGCTTTTGGGCTCAAGTCGTTGTGCTGCTGCACCAGAGAATCTTAGTTAAAAACTAGAATAAAAATAAGTAGTTTATTAAAGTAATACAGTCACGTTGCTTTTACTTTTAGAAGGCAACCTGAGTTTTAATTTTACTAAAGTGTTTTCATGTCTTACAAAGCCACTGCTCACAATACAGAAGGGTATTTGATTCAGAGAGTAATGCTGGAAGTCTTTAAAGGCAAGCATTAAGTTGCAGCCTCTGGAGTTGCAGGGAAAGATCCAGCAGGACAAGACACAAAATGGCAGAGGTTGAGGTCTTATTATTCTGGAGTATTTAGTTGGAACTTTACAGGCACTTCCTTGTTTCTGCACAGCAAGCTGGGATGTCACTCACCATGTTCCTTCTCTCCTCCCACTGTCTGGTAGTGCTTCCCCATGTCTGTCAGAAACCTCCCAAGACAAGAGTTGCTACGTGCCTTATTCTTATTCTCCTTGCTCCCCCCAGGAGCTGTGCATACTTCTGCTTTTATTTGTTATATTATAGATGCTCTTTTTGCCCTGCATGCTTTCAGGTTTTTTCTATCCAGGAAATGGTCTGATAAGAGAAAGAAATTATACAATATTTTGCAGAATCGAATGGGTTTAGTAATTCCCCCTCTCATAATCTTACCCATAACATGAAAACCAACATTACTACTTAAATTCACTTTATTTCAAATGAAAATTTATGGCACACTATAAAGAGTTTAAGGCACAGCATGTAACAAAGCTATTAGTCTCTTTTTTGTTTTTAAGTGAATTACTGATGCAAGCTTTTAGAAGGAATTGAATTTCAAAACTGCTTACACATGTATTTTTAATAGTGTACAAAGATTAATTACATCAGAATGTGTATTCTAGGTATTTGGTTTGCATTTTTTTTATTCCTTGCTTACGGGAAAATTTTCTACAGTGAATCAGTTGATTCACATAGTCCAAATTTGTTCGTTTTGAGTGCAGATGTAAAGTACAGGATGCTTTTTTTCCCCTCATTACCCTCCTCCTTAAATGTCAGAATTGTCTTGTACACCAAACTCTGGGTTGAAATGATGTCTAGTGTAATACTGAACATCTTGTCCTTAGCTTTTTAATTGTTAGATTTTTAAGATTAAAAGCTGCTGGACTTTCAAATATGGTCTACCAACAAGTTGTTTGTAATAGAAAGCTTTAGTTGTCTGTGAATGCACTATCACAAAGGAAGTACTTCAGCCTGAGAAACTACATGGAAATACTAAAAATTGATTTACAGGTTACAACACCTCAGTGAAATTCATTGCAGAAATGGATTTTGAGTCCTTTCTTGTTAAAAAAAAAGAAAAGCACACAAAACAACATTAAATTAAAATACTGATTTGTAAGTTAAAATACCCTTTTAGACTTTATTGTTCACTGTCCCGGTTCAATTTTGTAACAGCAACAAAAAAATAAATATTGTGATGCTGCAGTATTTATATTCTAAATAAATACTTGTGTGCACACACGCAGAGGACACTTAAATACTTACACATACGAGGGAAATCTAAATACTGTGAATTCCCAGTGAAGCAAGTATTCAGTTTGCCATGCTGCTCCCACAGCATCAGCTCTTCTTGCTGGCCACCTCAGACAGTCTGCTTGTAAAAATGGTGTTGGATGTCTTGCTGCTTGACTTAAATATGAATTGCTACAAATGGTGGATTCTTTTTCTCTTCTGGACAGGCAGGAAAACATGAAGCCATTGTAAAAAATGTACATGATCTCCTCGCAAAATTAGCTTGGGATTTCTCTCCTGAACAGCTTGATCACCTATTTGATTGTTTTAAGGTAATTATGCGTGTTTTGACTGTAATCAGGAAATGGGTTGTGAGGTTTCATGCAGATTTGTGGCTTTTTCAGTGTCTTACTTTCTACTTATTTTAGATAGTTGTTTTCCGTGTGTTAAAAGACTTCTTAGTGTGTAGCAACAGTCTGTAATATTCAGTTCTAGAAATGCTTTTCTTTAATGACCACTCCTTGTGACATTTTCTATTTACTTCCTGTCTAAACAAAGGCTAGTGATGCTTGTTTAGTAGACAGTTTTGTTTTCTGGTTTGAACACTTTGGGGTCATGCACATCTATTCAAGTATTAACGTGTTAAAGTTACCTATTAATATTAAAGTTACCTTTAGCAATCCTAGGAATATAGAATGCCAAATAAAATAAGTTATTTATCCTAAATACCTTTTTACATTTGTTCCAAATTAATAAATGTTGGTGATTTAGTAAATGATGTTTTCTCTTCTGGCATTAGAGTAGGTTTTGTCAGGTTTACCAGGCAGTGCTACTTTTGATCTTTAAGTGGAGGAGATCAAGGACTTCCGTTCCACACTCCGCCAACTTCCTCTTTATCATGTAACGATTTTTCTCTGTTTAGCCCACATACAGAATGACACAGCCCCAGGAAGATAAAGTTGAATGTTTATAAACATATAATGATTTGATTTGAAATCACAAAACAACTTGTTTCTGAAAGTTCAGTTACTCACGGGCTTTTTATGTATAACATTTAACATTTACAGCTTCCAGTAGTGGGGCTCTCTGGCTTGTTTTACTGTTTCACTTTCAGGACATGATCTGCTGTTTCACTTTTAGGACATGATGAGCTTTGTAGTCTCTGTTTTCTTTTTTCAGATAAATGCATTATGGGCATATTTTGGCTTATGTGCAATTTGTGCTCTCATTAATGGGGTCCTGTAGTTTGGTGAATATGGGTCTAATGTTCTGTAGTTCAGATGCTGAACTCAGTGCTCAGAAATTCTGTGTGTAAACTTTTTTCTCAGACCTTGAGAGATGGATATAAAGTGATGTTATACTGAAAACTTTCTCAGAAAAAAGTTAATTTAATTCAGAGGACATTTGTTTTGGTCAGATTCAGAGGCACACATGATACTAAAATTTTACTCACATAGTAATTATAAGTTATCTAAGAAGTTTTTAAAGAATAAGCACAGGAGTTTTGTGAAAGCATTTGCAAGAAACAGCTGAGTCCACTCTGGCCGTTGGTGAACTTGTCAGTGGTAATGTTAACTTTTACAAGAACATGTATGATCTTAAACAAAGAGCTGCCTTTTTTTAAACTCCAAGTTGAATACACTTTAGTTGTAAACACTAGAAGAGCTCTTCAGTTGTGTCTGGCTTATGTACTGTGAGCTCTAATGTGCTCTTTGTTTTTAATGAAAGAAATGGAAGTTCTCCATGTAGTTGCATCACTTCTTTGTTGCATCATTTGTTAACAGTGCAGGTTATGTGTGGAGTTTAAAAAAAAAAGACTGTTTTTTATAATATTTTTTTTAAATATTAGGCAAGTTGGACGAATGCAAGCAAGAAACAGCGTGAGAAACTGCTTGAGTTAATTCGCCGCCTTGCAGAGGATGACAAGGATGGTGTGATGGCACACAAAGTGCTGAACCTGTTGTGGAATTTGGCTCACAGTGATGATGTACCAGTTGATATCATGGACCAGGCTCTTAGTGCCCATATTAAAATCTTAGATTACAGCTGTTCACAGGTGAGTGATCTGGTATGTTGTGCTGTGAAAGAAGTCACTGAGTTTCCTTCCGTTCCCCATGAAAAATTGAAGGGATTTGGTAATTTAGCAAAAGTGTTCCCTATCATAGATTTGTATTATTGTACTGACAGCCTGGTACTTTTAAAATGTTATGGGACATATTTTAATTAACACAGTTAGTGTTTTAACTGGAGGGAGTGAAATTCATCAGTTTGCCTGTCTTGGTGCAATTGCTGATGAGCACACTGGAAGAACTGGAATTGGACCCTGCCAAAGTAAATAGGGAGAAAGGAAAAGCAGCCCCACTCCTCCTGTCTTTGCTTTTTCCCAAACTCAATTATACTGATCTGTTTTGGTGTTTTGTTTTTTTTTTCCCAGTAAGTCCTTATATGTCTTGTATAATATTAGAAAGGACCTAGCAAAGGTCCTTTCCAAACTACTACACACGCTCCTTCCCCACCCAAACTTCTGTGGAAGTCTGCCAGAGCAGTGCTTCCTTATGGTCCAAAATTAATCCATTATCCATCTTGTTGAGTGAAGAAGCAGTTTGTCATTGTTTTTTGGTATTTTGTAACAGTGAGTAGAAATAAATGAAAGCTTTAAGAGAGAGCAGATTATTTAAGCACTTCTTAAGTACTGAGTGCTTGAAGGCACAGACTTTTTAACACGCTGGTGACTTCTGCCAGCATATCGTGCTGCTCAGATACTTTCCTTATGCTTCAGAACTCAGGTGATCTAGCATTTGTTTGGTGTTGTATGTGTGTTCTGTCTTGGAAACAGTGAGGGAATTATAATTTTGCAGTATACTTGATTTTGATTATGAACTGCTGTTCTTTAAGGATCGAGATACACAAAAGATCCAGTGGATAGATCGTTTTATAGAAGAACTTCGCACAAATGATAAATGGGTCATTCCTGCACTGAAACAAATTAGAGAAATTTGCAGTTTGTTTGGTGAAGCACCACAGAACTTGAGGTAAGAATTGAATGCAAATGAAGTTTCCTCTGCCAAAAGGCAGATGGGTTGGAATGAGGCAAATTTAACTTTTTTTTTTACAAAAGGTCAGTAAAACTTAGGTAAAACCATAACCTGTGTTGGAAGATGTTCTTGAGTTTGTTTTAGTATGGATAAATAACCTCTGAAAATTCAGGCAGCTAAGTTCAGTAAGAGACCATTAACTACTTCTTCAAACATGCTTTTATTAATTTTTATAATTGTAGTCTAGTGGAAAATCTGAGTTTGTTTAGACTTCCTTGCCTAACAATGGAATTAGCTTACTTAGTATAAGTATATTTTATGGTTTTGTATGGATATATGCACACACATCCAAAACCACAAACATACCCACCCATCCCTGTTCTTTGATGACAAATTCATGCAGGTCATCTAGTTTATATGCTTGAAATCAAAGGTGACTTTTTGGTCTGGGAAAAATACTCTACTGATTTTTCTCTCCTGAACGGAATTGTTTTACTGGGGGGAGGGAGTTTGCTTGTTTTGTGGGGGTTCATTTGATGGTTGTTTTTAAAAGGAAATAAAAATGAAAAGCAGTTGTCTGTTTGGACTTGTTAAAGTGTATGTGCTTGTTTTAGTTATTTTAAATGTCTTCTCACTGCAGAAATAGCTGAAATTCCGTGCCCCTAACAGTATTTGTGTCCACATCAGAATTTTTACAGACTCCTGAAAAATATTATTTGCTTATCAGGGGTGCACAAATCAGGGGTGCACAATTGCTTTGTCTTAAAACTTGTGAGCAGATAAACTATTCAAATCAGTGTTGCTGTTACAGTTGGTTTACAACAAAGATCAAGTCAGGGAAAGTTAAGGAAAATAAGCCTCAGTTTGCACAACACTATCTTCTTACTGATACCATATTCAGGAGCTGTGATAATACTGCATTCCTGGCTTTTAGAGTTTTCTTTATTCATTTAGTTTGCAACATATTTCTCAGCTTTTTCATAACATTTTAATCCTTTACAGTTTCACATTAATGATTGCTTGAGGTTTACCCAACAAGGTCACAGAGTCACCTGCTAATTAGCAGAAAAGTTTGTTTTTTGTGTCCTGGAGTCCTTAACTATTTTCATGCTGTAAGATCCAGGCAAATCAAGCTACCTGATCATGCAGAGTGGTTGTTCAATTTGAATGCTTTTAACACAGTGCCTTTAACAAAGATGCTTTGCTTTAAGTAATTATTGAAGCAGAGCTCATTCAAGGTACTGATTTAAGTTTCTGCTCTGAAGTAATCTTGGGAGGAAGTTTAGGTTTCCTTTATGGTCTGTGTCCAGTTAGATGGCTTGAATGTCTCTCGTCTTTGTTTATCAGACCATCTCATCCTCAGATTTCCGGGCAGTCTGCGTTGCAGTGTGTAATAACACCTTGTATTTATGCAGGATTTGAAAACAAATATGGCAGGAAAGTAAACTTGGAATTGAAAGTTTTAATCAAGGGACTTACAAAGACCTCTTCCTGTGGAGCATCCTTTGTTAGCAAGATACTGTTGAGGGAGTTTTTTTAGTCAGATATTATTACTGCCCAAGTAGCTGGGAAACCTACTGAGTGAAAACATCATTTTGAAATAATCACTGACTTTCCAGCCTGCCTAGTTTTCTGATAACTGTTGATAAGGTTTGGAAATTGTAATCTATGCCTCCCATACCTCTTTCTATCACCTTACCTTATCTAACTTAAAACTTTAATACCTAACATCCTTCTAGCATTTGGATTGAAAACAGGTCAATGTAGGTGTATGTGACTACTGCCTGAAAAACATGTCTGAGAGCTTTCTGTGTGCAACAGTAGTCCCATTTTCTTTATGCTGCTCTTTTGGGGTGGTCCAGTTGATTGGCAGTGGCAATGAAAGGTTCAGTCCAACAGCAAAGGCTGCTGATCCTTGGCAAAACTAAGTATAAATTGTCTTATGCCATTGGCACTGTAGAAATTCTTTTGGGAGGGAGGTTTTAATTGTTGCTAGTTATTCATGCAGTTGAACAAAGTGATGAATTCGTTGTACAATTGCTATGGCAAAATTTAGCTCCCTGACCACAGAGAAATGCTACATGTTTGGGGAAGTTCAGCTTAACCAGAATTACAACAGAAAATAATTCTTATGTAAGTTCAAGGACTCTTACAGGTGCAAGGATGCTTTTGAATACTGAGAAAGAGTCTATTACTCAACATGCTGATCTTTACTGTACAGATAATTAATCATCTTAATTTTCTCTGCGTTGGCTGATGGAGGTAGAGCCTCCTGTAGACTAATGTCAAGCACTTAAGTTTGACCTGTATCTACCTGAGCAGTAAGAGATCCATCTCCTAAATTATTTGCCCAGAAGAATTAATTGAGCATTGACAGTTCAGGGGTTTTGATAGTGCTTTAGGGCAACAATGATGCTTCAAGTCACTTTTTAGCCTAAGTAGTAGAATTTGCTGGGATCAGTCACTGCTTTTGGATTTTTAATGGTACATAGCATTTGTTCATTTAGCAAAACAACTCTCATCTTCAAAAGCTGAGTTATATGGGCAGAATTATTTTGGGCAAGATATATGTGCAAATAAATAATTTTTTTAATCCGTTTAAATTAAGTTGTTTGGAATTTTGCCTTTGTCAATTTGCCATTATTTTTCTCGCAAATAAGCATTCTGGCTATGAAATGTCTTTTGTTGTATTGCCAAAATACTACTTCATCCATTTCAAAATGCTATTTTTTCTTTTTATACATTAGCTTTGGGTATCCATTTAGTAGAAACACAATGAAAATCTGAGTTTTGCTGTTAGCTTCAACTTTTCTTGCTCCTCAGTTGTTACACATTAATGAGTGTGTAGTAACTAATGTGTAATAATATTACACATTAAACGAATGTGTTCTAATGGCAACATCATAATACAGTCTAACCTTAGATGCTTAAAGAGAATTTTAGTTGCATGTAGAATTTGCTTAAATACTAGAAAACATGCTAAAAGAGCTTGTCAGATCAGCTTTTTTCCTGTGCCTGAAGACAGTAATTTTGCCTTTGACTTCATCCCAACAGATGATCAAAATAACATCTTGAATGTTGCTCACAAACACAGTGTAACAGCTCACAACTCGTAGCTCATAACTCTAGTTATTACAATTATTCAACTTTTAGAAATAGTTGCTAACCAAGGTGAATCTGTGTGCAAATTTACTGTTTGTGCACGTCGTTGAGAAAGGAGAGAAGTAAATAATATCTAACACAGAACATTGTAGTCTTCTGCTGGTAAAGCTGTTGTGTTGCTGTACTTTGTGAGATTGATACAAATGCTTAATATTATGAGTATAAATATACACTTCAATATCTTGATTCTGCAAAACACTCCATCTTGCTTCTGTTTGCTCCTTTAGTTGTTTCATAATATGTATTTCCCAAATAATCAGTGTTCTTATTTACTGTTACCCTTTGTGAATGCAACTCTCTGTCTAGAGGTAACATCTTGGGTAGTCACTAACATAGAGACATCCAGCCTTTTCCTGTGTTTGCTGCTGGTTTATTCTGAGTAAGGAGGGTCGGTGGAGATGGAATGAAACATAATTGGAAAGTTTCTTGAAGTGAAAACAAAGAATTTTTTGAGTATATGAAGTTCTGTATGCTTTTTCTTTTATGTGTCCATCCATTCTGTTTTCTCTCTGACGGAGATCTCAGTTTCTGGGTTTCTTTTTAACACAATTTGTGTTTTAAGTGCCCCTTTCAAACTGTTTTAGGAAATTCTGCATATTATGAAATTCAATATTCTGAAGACCACAATGCTTAGGAGGGCAAATTATGTTGGTTGCAGTTAACAAAATTATTGGCAGGGTGTTGATGGCTTCTGTCTTTTAAACCCAAATTGGCAATGATCTTTGGTCCAGTGAATCAGTTTATCTGTTGTTGTTACATCTACAGTGAAATGTGGTTATCAGCTGCAAGATCATTGTCAGCTGGTGCTGGAACTGGCATTTTTTGCCTTCCCCACTGTTCTCTAAAGGTGTGGGGATACTGTAGAGTGCTGTAGGTCTTGTAGTATGGAGACCCTCTTTCCTAGGAAGGATGAGGATTCCTACCTGTAATCCATTCAGGTCTACTTTTTGAAGTGTTGAAGGAAAAGAGAACAATTCTGAAATGGCATTTTTCTTTCCTCAGGGCAGGCTATGGGATCAGCTGAGTGCTAATGAGGAATGTCACTCTTCCCCCTGACACCCACTTGTTTTCTTTTTTTCTCTTTACCATGGAAGAGCAGCACTAGTTTGCCTTGTTTATGCAGTCCAGATCAGTGCTCTGATCTGCAGCTACAGCAGTTGAGACATTTTGAGGGTGTTCTGCAGAGGTGATGAGTCTCCAGGTTCTAGAATTTGATAGTGTTAATGGCATGTGGGTCTTAGACCCAAGCTTTTTATTTTCTTTTACAGTTTACTTTTGTAATCTAAATATGTCTAGTGTTGTTTAAGAGCAGCATTTTTTGCCAGGTCTTGAACTTATGATCTAATTATTTATTTAGGATATTTCTTTTTTTGAACTTTTCTGGAATTTTTTTTGGCTCTATGCTTTGTGTGTCTGCTTTTTTTGTTTGCACCAACATTTTTCCCAGATATCGTTAGAAAAAAATCAATACCGTTTGCAGGTTTTTTTAACTGCTATGATTATTTGCTAGTGTTCTTTCACTGTGGTCTCAGGTTTTACTTAGTGTTTTAATATTAAATATAGAAAATATTAGATGGCCGAGGAAGAAACTGGGTTTTGTGTGTTGTAGTTACACTACAGTTGAGGGTCTCTGTCATTACTGTGCACTTTGTGGGCAGGTGTTTCTGGTCTGTCTTGCTGCAGATATTCTCCCTCTAGCACACTGAGCTACTCAGATCACTTTGATATTTCTCATACATATTGTAACTGTATAATCCTCACAAATTCACTGCTTTTAGTAACTGATAAGAACTGTTGGTATGTCAGAAGAAAAAAAGGAAAAATATTGTCAGAAACTTAATATGATTTCTATTCAAGATCCTTTAAGAACTTGCATCAAAGATTATTTACTTAAATTGATTTCTGAACTGTTAGGTGCAAGACTTCTCTGCTTTTCCTCTAACATTTGTATTTTATTTTCAGTCAAACTCAGCGAAGTCCCCACGTGTTTTACCGACATGACTTAATCAATCAACTTCAGCACAATCACGCCCTAGTTACATTGGTTGCAGAAAATCTCTCTGCCTATATGGAAAGCATGAGGCAGTATGCTAAAGGTAAGCTTTAACAAAAAATTTGCCTCACAGAGTGTATGAAAACTCCAGTTGAAAATGGAGTTAAAAGCAAATTCCCATAATAAAATAACTATGAAGTTTATTTGTTTAATTTTCAGGTGTCTGTGGGGTTGAAAGCTTTTGTGGTGTCTGACTGCATAAGAAAAGCTTAAAATGCTATTTTTTTCTTTTTTATAATTGAAAATGTGTGTTTTATAGTTGAACATGTGGAAGTGGCAGCTCTCATTTATCTGTGGATTGATAAACATCATCTTACCCTACTTAGGCTAGGGTAGTAATTTTTGTGGAAAATCCTAATAGTAAAGCTTCTAGTTTTGAATTTTTGAAGGCTCCTTTGAGAAGCTTTTTTAATCACCTCCTTTTGAAGCCAGTATTTGGAATTTGTCAGGGAGAAGGACTTTAAACCACAGGGATACTATTTGTTTTTACAAGGTAACTCCCATATCTGTTCAGTTCCTTTCTCACTGCAGTTGTTACTGTCAGCACATTGTGTTAGTATTTATATATTTTAGGCTAAACTCAGCCCTTCACTGATGAATTTACCCTCATACTCTGGATTAACTTTTAGCTACTGAGGTAGAAGCGTGGAAGTGAAGGATAATGGTGGACCAGGAAACTCCTTGTTAGACTAGACCACGGTATTTTAATATAAAATTAAACCAACAGAAGTGAAAGGAGGAGGTTTACACCCCTCCTTCTCCACCACTGACTTTACTGACTGGAACCAGGGACTGTTTTCTACCCTGGCATCATAACATCCTGCCAGCCTTTCAGTTGCTTCTCAGATAGGGCACAGTATGTTGTGGAGGAATTCGGTGTAGACAGTCCAGAGAGGACAGGATATTTGCATATTCTGAAGTTTGTGTCTTACACCACTAGGAAAGGTTGCCTAGACACCTTTAATTTTGGATTTCATTTAATTTTGGAGTACTAAGTATATATATTTTATATAAAAGATACCGAAAATATGTCCTTGAGGATATGTGTGAATAGCGGTGCTCTGTGAAGATGGTCACTCCTGCCAGGTATAGGTCAGGGAGAATGACATTTAGTTAAATCTGCACACTGCAAATACATTTCTCTGTTCAGGAATACATGGGGCTATTACCCTAATTTAAGTTCCATAATTAATGATAGCCTTGCACTAATTAGTGTTAGAATGATACTAAATTATTTGGTCTGTTCTCAAACCATAGTGTCTTAGCCTTAGTCTTCACAGGAAGGTGGAATAGAACAAGTATTAGTGAGCTGTTGGAGCTAACATGATGCAAAAATGCCATTTTATTTGCAATGAACTTCACATTTTAACTATATTGATATCTTACAGTTTGTGATTCTGTTCTTCTTTCTCTTGGGCTTTGACCAGCTGTGAAATCTGGGGTTTGGCCTCAGGGTTAGCAGGGAAACATCATGAACAGCTGTATTCTAAAGCAATGCTGTCTTTGTCCAAAAATAGCCTACACATGCTGTTGGTGTATGAACTATTTTTCATTCATTTCAATCACATCCCACTGCCCTGCCCCTCCCCAGCTATAATGACTCAGTTAAGCAGGAATATGAACATCTTCAGTGTGATAGGAATTACATGTGTGTGAAGGGTTTAAATTTAATCTAATTACAAAGCAATTAAATTATGCTTTCCTGAGACAAAGCTGTTGCAGAACTTCTCATTTGCATCAGAGAACAAAAACAGATGAATAATAGTGTGGATTTTTTTTTTTAGATGCTTTATTACATTATTGAGGGCAACTAGAAAATACCTCCTAATGTTCCAGATACTGTACTAAATAAGACACAGTTCCTGTGCAAAAACTCTTTAATTTTCAGCTTTATATACTAAATAGAGCAGAACATAGAGCACTGTGAAGTTTGTCTTCCATGCCTTAGTGGAGGAGGAGGAATATGCCAGGGGGGCATATAAATGAAAGGGAATAAATGAAAGGAGAAAAAAGATTATGCATGTGAGGACAGAAAGAACTGGAAGCTGTAGAATTAAGCTTGGCTGGAGAAGGTGAATGAGACAGAGGGAAAAAATTCAAGGCAAACATCCAGACAGCACAAGTCAAACAAATGCCATAGAAATGAAGAATCCAGTTGTCAACAGATCTCTTTGGCAGTTAACACTGCAATTATTGTGTAATTTTGGATATTTTTAAATTAATTTTGAATTTGCCATATTTTTATTTTCCTTGAAGGCTTCCATAGTTGCATTCTGTGATGGAGAACAATGCTCCTATTCTCCCGTTATTCACCAATGCATAGTATTTTCTGTGACAGTCACTTCTGTATGTTTGCCTTTTTAAAGAGAAGCCTAATCTATGTTTCTGAATTTTTTCCACGCTTTTTGATTTTCCCTTCTACTGAACTCACCCTTTTCTCCAACTCTGCAAAGTCCTCCATGAGATGAGACAACTGCTATTGCATTTTGTAGTCCTGAAGGAGGTCACAGTTTCATCTTTCTGATGATTTATCAAAGATCTTTTGAAAATTTTAGAAGGTTGCTAGTCAGTTCTCCTTTGTGTTCTGTTTTTCTGAAGTAATAAAAAAATCCAAAGTGTTAATGAAATGTAATTATTTGTAGAAATTGTGCCATATGATCTTCCATGTGTGTTTATCACTAATTAGACTTAAATTTTCAACCAGTTGTTTTTTGATCGCTAATTTCTCTGTTCATTCTTCTGCTCCAGTATGTAAAAACAATTTTTAAGGAGATCACACACACTTGGACTTGCTGTGGGATACACAGATTAGAAAATAAATCTGGCAGATGTAGAAAGAATGTGATATAGGTAATATTTAGGGAGACAGAATTTTTTTGTAGTTCAGAGTGTTTGAGAATTCTGAAGTGCATCCACACTGCCTTTGGGCAACTGGCTGGGTTTGAATATTTGACTTCTTCTGTCGTTGCCAGTGTTGATGTTGTTGTGTCTGTGAATTAAACTCCAGTCAGGAAAAAAAATCCCAGATAGTCCCCACAGTGAAAACAAATGAACACCACCACCACCAGCTCCCCCTCAACAAGATAAAATCAAACAAAAAACCCACCCAGAACGCCCAACACTTCAAGTAATTAGTTTTAATTTCTCTGCAATATGCTTATCTACCCTAATTGTTTCTTATTCTGGAGGCACAACATATTTTACCAGTTTTCTGCTTGTAAAACTGAAGTAATTTTTGTTTGGCTACCTTTATATTCTTTCTTCTGGTTTTTTTTTTTCACATTTCTTCTTTTGATAATTACCCATTTATGATTACTTCATTAGGGTTATAATTCAAATTTTTTGAAGGATTTCCAGTGAACATAATGTCTCCAGTTTTGCAGACATCAGTTAACTACTAGTCTTCTGTTTCCCCTTTTATTTTATTTTTAAGGTAATGCACCTTTTACACTTGGATATAGAGAGCAATATGACAATAATTTTTCTCTTAATTTTGAAACATTGATGGACTTCAGCTGTTAGACTGGTTTGGTTTGGGTTTTTTCCCCCTCCCTGATATAATAGGAGATACTGATTTTCAGCTCTGAAGATAAATTCTAGTATTAGTCTTGATGTTGTCATGATACAGTCTGTCATGGCTGGGTCATCTTAGCTAAAGGCAATTTGTACACCTTTGCAAATAAGAAATACAGCATTAATTAGTTTATAAGGGAGCTGTCATAATGAACATGTGTCATGATGAAATACAGTATGTACAGATGAAAGCAATGTGTGCAGAGATCTAGATTGTATCTCTTTAATTAATAAAACCCAACCAACCAACCTAACACCAAACAAAACCACACCAACACCTGTGTTCCCGTGAAGCAAGCAGCTGTTTGTTAAGCAAAATATTATGCTAAGATTTGACAAAATGCAGGTAGAAGTTTGACTTCTTGCCTTATTTTAAAATTACTACTTCTATTTCAAGCTTGTCAGTATTCCAGGCATTTGGGTCTTGTATTTGGAAACTTGCAGTAGATAAAGTTGTCTTATTTTCTTCCTCTGAGTGATGTTGTGTACATAACTACTTATAAAGGTGTTAAAGAAATGGAGAAATTATTTCCTCTGGAGAGGAAAAAGTCCAAAAATGGAAAATTTAAATTTTGGAAAAGATGTTCTGTAAGGAAACTAAAGCATCCTCAGGAAAAAAACCCCCTGGATAATCTGAATTATATGCTTGGTGTACTTTCATTTTTAACTGTATTCTGGCTTCAAACTGACTACCTACATTAGGAAAAATTGATTTGAAGTAGAAGAATGCAGGTTCCTAATTTTTCTGTAATACTTTCATTGAACAGTGAGCACTTGTATCTGCACCTAATTGTGTATTTGATTATATACCTCGGTGGTCTTTGCCTATACTCTTTTTAATCTGGGATGAAATACTAACAGGTAGTAGCTTGGTGAAAACTCTTTTTATACACCTTACTGAAAATTTTCTGGGTTTTGAGTGGTTTTGATTATATTCAGAATAACAAGTCTTCAAACACACCCTGTCTTGTGGAGTCAGCATGCCTTTTCTGAATGTCTTGTCTTTTATTTGCAGAGCATGGGGAATATGATCCTCAAACTGTAAGGCCAGGAAGCAGATACAGTCACGTGCAGGAAGTACAGGAGCGACTCAACTTCTTACGGTAAGTTTGAACTTGAATATTTGTTTGACTTCTGTAAGAATACTTTGAATACTTTAAAGAAAAAGAAACCCTTTGCATTTCTTTTTCTTCTACAGCTTTAAGTTGTTGTGTTAACTTCTTTCAAAACTCAGATGCAAAAATACACTGAATGTTTTTGTTTTGGTTTCTTTTTTTTTCCCAGAGGGCTTCTATGCTACTGTTCGAATATTCAAATAAAATTTATTAGGATCTTTGCAATCCAAGGCTCTCATTCTGCACTAGGTTTTGTGTGGTTTTTTTCCTGTTTGTGTGTAGAACCCTACTGACTTGAATACAGTGTGCAGGTGGATACAGTTACATACCTGTTGGAGTAACTTATCTGAAAGTTTAAAACATTCCCAGTAGGGATATGGCCACGTGTCCTTATTTCTTGCACCACACCAGATTTAAATCCACAATCATAGCCTGACATATACTTTTGTCAGCCACTGATGTTGTTTTGTCAGCAGCTGAGCCATAGAAAGACACTGGAATAAAATTATTTGGATGACTTTTGGCCAGCTGCTGTTTGAGAAAACAAAGGATCTCTGCTCATCATAGAACTGCTGTATGTTGATGCTTTTTAGGCTGTCTTGACTTTTTCTTAGTTGTTTTTAACCTTTTTTTAGACAAGTAAAAATACTTGAACTGTCAAGTTCTGAAGTATTCTTTACTTTTTTTCTAGGGGAGATTTTTTTACTTTTTAAAATTTTACCAAGAATTTTTATGAATTAATCTTAAGTGTTAAATGGTTAATGAACTTATACAATAGCATATGGATAGGCTTAATTTATCACTCCTGCGTGTTAAATATTGTAACTTCCTTAGATTTAACTTCACTATATACACAAATTTATGAAGTCCCATGGTTGTCAAATGTAGAATATGTAGCAATTTCTGAAAAGCAGTGCCATAACTTAGGCCCTCCTTTCTTTTACATAGAAGAGATTTTGAATCCAAAAAATTATTGTAAAGAACTTTATCATTTGTTCCTCCTGAAAGATCCTTAGTGTTAGCTCTCAGAATTGAAGTTCTTAATAATTCTGTCTTAATAATTTAACACAAATGAAAAACTTGGTTAAATAAAAGGAAAAATTTCCAGTTCATTGACTTTATTCTGTAGAGTTGATACTTTTTTTGCAATTTTGCTAAAGCAAGTGTTTATAAAACATTGTGAGTGATCGCAGAATTAATTTATTCTCTTATGTCGTGACTTTTAAACTAAATAGTTTACATTAGATGTGCATTTCTTTGTGTATAAAATGCAAATAATGCTTGATATTTTTGTGCAAGACATTTTTTGCTGAATCTTATTCCTTTTTTATTTGGAATATAAAGTCTTGATTCGTTCAAACTTACTAAGAAATCATGGGGCTAATTATGATGTAAATAAATGTATTCATGATGTAAATAAAGTTTTCAAGGTCATGCTTATGATACATAAATGAATTACATATATATATTCACCTTTGTGCCTGTGCTTTTTACTGCATTGTAACCCTGGATGTGTGTTAGAAGTGCTGTTAATTGTCTCTCTGTTTTGCTCAAGATTTTTATTGAAGGATGGTCAGCTGTGGCTCTGTGCCCCTCAGGCGAAGCAAATATGGAAGTGTTTAGCTGAAAATGCGGTTTATCTTTGTGATCGCGAAGCCTGTTTTAAATGGTATTCCAAACTAATGGGGGATGAACCAGACTTAGACCCTGACATTAATAAGGACTTCTTTGAAAATAATGTGCTTCAGCTGGATCCTTCCCTATTAACAGAAAATGGAATGAAATGTTTTGAACGTTTCTTCAAAGCTGTGAACTGTCGGGAAGGAAAGCTAGTAGCAAAGAGAAGAGCCTACATGATGGATGATCTGGAATTAATAGGATTAGACTACCTTTGGAGGGTGAGTTAATTGGAGGAAACATCTGAAAGTTTAATTGCTGAGTCTTTCTCAGTCTCTTAATATTTTTAGGAATGTGTAGTTTCATATTGAAATTACAAAAATCTACTTTTTCAAAGTAAATGCTTGACTTTTGACTCCACTGTCTTCCCAGCAAGTGTACAAGCTGGTAACTTTGCAGACTGATACTTGATGGAAAGTTGTTTGAAACATAAGTATAGTTATGCATGCACATGAAATTAAAAATTTGCCTATACTGTTGAAGAAGAAAGGATCATTCCAGGTGATTTACCTGTAGATTTCTCTTTTCTTTCACATGCACATTATAATTAAACTTTGTTCCGTGCATTAATGAGCTACTTTATTGCATTCCTTGTGGTGTGGTAAACTGGGGTGATTCTACATTAGACCATTGACCACTGGTCTGATTCTTTCTCTTATAACCACAACCTGTTGCCTAAACATGGTTGTTATGCAGGATCCACAGGTTCTATATAGCCACCTGTTTATACATATAAAATCTTCCTTTTCAATAAGAAGGTTGTTGCTTTCTGAAGCTTGCCAAGTCTGTTGGGGAAAAACATCAGTATCTAATCTGTTGTGTAATTTTTTCAGAGTGTTCCTGGTTCTCAAGAGCTGTGTTAAAACCCACAGTGGTGCACTGTGGCATGATTATCATGGCTGTGTTTTTGTAAAACATGTACAGCAGCTGTCTGCAGTAATTTTGGTTGTGGCTTTTTGAAGGATTAGGTATTTTAATCCTGGTGATAATAGTTAAAACCAAAATAGATCACAATTTGTATACAAATAAATTCACGCTGTTTGTGAACAGAGTTCCCACATAATGATAGCATGTTTTAGTGTTGGGAATCACCTTACTCTGGTCAGCGTGACAAAACTCATTAAGCTTCAGCTCAGTATCCTGCAGGGTTTGTCTGTAAAACCTGCTTCAGACCTGGTAACTAGTAATTAAAATTTAGATTATCACATAAGAAGCAGAATTCATTTGCCTGTTCCCCTTCCACCCTCTCACAGCCATTTACATATTTGAAAATTCTCTTTGGTGATGCAGGCTGTTCAAGCACCTGAAAAAATAGTTTTCTTATTCTCTGAAAGTAGAGAAAATTGGAATATTATGTGAAGATGAATATATAAACACTAATTCTATTCTGTTTATAAAACATCAGCTTTTTTTTTTTTGGTCTGAACTCCTTTAAAACTAGCTAATTCTTAACCATGATTTTTATATAATTACTTTTAGTGTAAGTTGTTTTATTTTTTGTATCTAAACATTTTAATCACTTTCACCTGATAAAATCATTAAACATACTGTTGTGTAAAGATACTTATGTAGTAGTTATGTTCTTAAATTTTATACCAGCAAGTTTTAAGATTTCTAATGCTTTTTGTGTTTTTTTTTTTAAATTATGCTAGGTTGTGATTCAGGGAAATGATGACATCGCCAACAGAGCAATAGACCTTCTTAAAGAGATCTATACTAATCTTGGCCCAAGGTTACAAGTTAATCAGGTAAAAAAAAAAGCAACAAGAAAACTGAAATATGATAGAAAAACAGTAATAAAATTCAATTTGTGATATTTTCATAGTTGAAAGATTCGAAAACAGAGAATAGTTTTCGTGTTTTGCAGAGTATACTCCTGAGTCCAGCCATCAGTTTCTGGTCAGATGCAGAATTAAAGAGTTTTTTCTCGTATTTGGAGACTGAACTCTGATAAATTTTTCATGTTAACTTTGTCTGTTGTATTTGACCCTTCTACTCAGAAAACAATTAATGTCATATACTTAGGAAGACCTTTTGTGGAACTTTCAGTTGTGGCACTTATTTATACCAGCATGTTCCCTGGCTGGGTCTGTGGAGTGTTGTCATAAGCTAATGTAATCTCTTTTTTCTGTCATGTCCCTTACAAAGGGTCACAGTTTCCCTATATAATGGTCAAGCTGAGCTCTAGCAAATCAGATATTATCTCCCTGCCTTAATATTTGCTGGGAGCTGCATTTCAGTGGGCAGAGAAGAGAGAATGAATTTCTGTGAGGTCAGAAGAAGGGATGTCATCCAAGGGTCTTTGACAGGCTTGAGGTGGGCCTGTGAAAACCTTCTGAAGTTGGACAAGGCCGAGTAGAAGGTCCTGCGCTGCACAGGGGTCAGAGCAATCCCAGGCACAAGTACAGGCTGGGAGGAGAATGGATTGAGAGCAGCCCTGAGGGGAAGGACTTGGGGGCACTGGGGAATGAGAAGCTCAACATGAGCTGTTGATGTGCACTCACAGGCCAGAAAGCCAAACATGTCCTAGGCTGCATCCAAAGCAGAGAGGGGATTCTGCCCTTCTGCTCTGCTCTCATGAGACCCCACCTGGAGTGCTGCATCCAGCCCTGAGGTCTCTAACATAAGAAGGGTATGGATCTGTTGGATTGAGTTCAGAGAAGGCCACGAAGATGATCAGAAGTCTGGAGCTACTCTTCTGTGAAGACAGACAGAGACCTGGCGTTTTTCAGCCTGGAGAAGAGAAGGCTCTGGGGACACCTTAGAGCAACCTTCTAGTACCTAAAGGGGGCTGCAACAGAGCTGGAGAGGGACTTCTTGACAAGGGCATGTAGTGATAGGGCAAGGAGAAATGGCTCTAAACTGAAAAGAGGGTAGGGTTAAATTGGATATTTGGAAGAAATTCTTCCCTGTGAGGATCACTGGCACAAAGAAGTTGTGGCTGCCCCATTGCTGGAAGTGTTGAAGGCCAGGTTGGATGGAGCTTTGAGCAACCTGGTCTAGTGGAAAGTGTGCCTATGGCATGGGGGATCTTAACTAGTTGATAATTGAGGTTCCTTCTGACACAAACATTGTATGATTTAATGATTGCACAGATTTGGTGGAGGGATCATAGAATCAACCAGGTTGGAAAAGACCTCCGAGATCATCAAGTCCAACCCTTGATCCAACACTGCCGTGGTTACCAGACCATGGCACTGATGCCACATCCAGTCTTCTCTTAAAAACCTCCAGGGATGGTGAATCCACCCCCTCCCTGGGCAGCCCATTCCAATGTCTGATTACTCTCTCTGTAAAAATTTTTTTCCTACTATTCAACCTAAACCTCCTCTGGCACAGCTTAAGACTGTGCCCTCCTATCCTACTGCTGGTTGCCTGGAAGACCTGTAGCCCCACCTGGCTACAACCTCCTTTCAGGGAGTTGTAGAGAGTGATGAGATCTCCCCTGAGCCTCCTCCAGGCTGAACAACCCCAGCTCCCTCAGCCTCTCTTCACAGGACTTGTGCTCGAGTCCCTTCACCAGCCTTGTTGCTCTTCTCTGGACCTACTCCAGCACCTCAATGTCCTTCCTGAACTGAGGGGCCCAGAACTGGACACAGCACTCCAGGTGTGGCCTCACCAGCGCTGAATACAGGGGAAGAATCACTTCCCTGGACCTGCTGCTGTGCTGCTTCTGATACAGGCCAGAATGCCATTGACCTTCTTGGCCACCTGGGCACACTGCTGGCTCATGTTCAGCTTCCTGTCAATCCTCTGGACAATCTCCAGTTGATAGCTTGCCGGTTGTATTTCTTAAGACTTCAATTTTCATACTTGTCCTCAAAAACACAGAGTCTTCAAAGCTGCCTGTTTGCCAGATCCAGCACAGCTGCTCCAGGTGGTGCATTTACAGCCATTCAAGCAGTATCTGACTGCAGTGGCAGATGGCTGGAGCCTTCTCTCTTGCAATAGGTCTGGGCTTACTAACCGTGCATCGATCTGTGCATGGTTAGATCTGACAATTCCAGAAGTGTTGGATTGACTCAACATGCACACAAGTATTCAGTGTGCTGGCAACTCCTCTGTTCCTGAGCTGCCTCTAAGGAAAGTGGCTGCTGGACTGTGGTTTGCTGCAGTAGCTGTGACTGTTCGTGTTTTGGTTGCAGACTTACCTGGAGACACTGCAGATTTTTTACAGTGATTCTCTAGGTTATGTGTCAGTCTAGGTCAGGAGCAAGGATGTTAGATGTCAGATATAAAATGTTAGATACCAGGCAGAACGAAGAGAGCTGCTACAGCTGCCACTCTGCTGAATCTAGCTCAAAATCCGTTTCTGAGTTTGTGCAGGAAATGAGTGTATCTGGAACTTGGTTATGTGGTTTTGGAGGCTGGGGCCGGGGTAGTTGTTCTGAGGATTTGCAAATGTTCTTTGTTCAGTCTTAGTGTTAAGTAAGTCAACCTGTACTAGATAGTCAGCTAAAGATTCATTAGCAGTCTGAGAAAATGATGAAGTGAAAGTCCAGTTGAGTGTTCTTTGTCCAAACTTCCACTTTTTCTATTTACATGCAAGTTTGCACTGTACAGTTACAGCTGCTGATGACATGTAAGATTTTTGAAGCCACAATAAATTAGAGCTGTTTTATCAGTGGTTGTTGATTTGGTTAAATGGTTTGGTTTGGGGGATTTTTTTTTACTTCTACCATTGAATTTTCCTTCTGAAAAGATGATTTTTAATATTTCTTGTAATTGCACCAATTTCTTAATGTAATTAGGTAGTGATTCATGAAGACTTCATTCAGTCCTGTTTCGATCGTCTAAAAGCCTCCTATGATACTTTATGTGTGTTGGATGGAGATAAAGACAGTATAAATTGTGCAAGACAAGAAGCAATACGGATGGTGAGAGTGTTGACTGTTTTAAGAGAATATATAAACGAATGTGACAGTGATTACCATGAAGAGAGAACTATTCTACCTATGTCAAGGTATGTGTGAAAAAGCAGTATTGTGATTTTGATTTTTGTTAAACTAAAACATTACTAATAGCTTTGTGATTTTTGCATTCTAAAGGGTTTCTATTCAGGGAATGGTATTTACAGAGTTTCAGAATTCCATTTTCTTTTTTAATACATGAAACTGTATTTTAAAAAAATTAATTTGAAAGATCAGGCAAATACAGATATACATGAAAGGGACAGCAGACCTGAGAGTAAACCTGTTGTGCTGGTGTTTTGTTCTTTAACTAGCACAATGTACCTTGATGCTCGATTGTTTTGGATATAGTTCTGTTTTCAGATAATTACTTAAAAGCAATACTGTTCTTTACATTAGCATCGTCAAAGCTTTGTTTTTCGTATTCCTGTTTTACAAAAAACATGTCAATGTATATTTTCACCCTCCATAGTTGTTTACAGAGATCTTTTATCTTACTTTGCAAGCCTAAATTTGGGATTATTTCTAAGGGAAATAGTCTGTGTAAGTTCCTCATAAGAGGGGGAAGAAGAAAACAGTACCTTGAAGTATATTTATTTTCTGTATACCTTCACTCTTCTTGTATTTGTCCTTCAATGAAAACTCAGCTTGAATCCTCACTCTCTTCCTTAACTTTGTCTTTGGTATAAAGAAAAAGCAAACACTTAAATCCAGTGTTGTGTAGATGTTCATAAGCAAAATATTTCCTGAGAGAGGAGAGAAAAGCAGAACAGAAAACTGTTTAAATGTTCCACTGTTAATAGTTGCTCTCTGTGGGAAGAAAGCCTCAAAAGTACATCAGGAATACACTATGATTGCTATAGATTTATGATAAAACTAAAATATTTTTAGACATGGTAGGGGTTTGTCATCCCTTATTTTAAATGCCCTTTGCTGTTTCTTCATGGTGTGTCAGTAAATTTGCAGTGTTCCTACAGCTTTTTTATTGTATTTGTTGATTGATTGATTAGTCCTAACGAAGTTCTCTTGTTCATTATGGGTGCATCTTTTTTTATATGGGCTGCTTGTTTGATTAGACTAATCTTTCAGAGGCCTTGTTAGCAAGGAGCTTTCTGAGGAGTTTTTTCTTTTTTGTTGCATGGGATTATTTTGTTGGGCTTATCTGGGCACATCTTTCCTAATGAGCTCCCTGCCATTGTGGGAAGTGTGATCACTGCTAATGTGAAACTGTTTCTTCCTTTTTTGATCCCTTTCAATTTTATTGTTTTTTTAGTAATTGTGATTTTAAAAATTGGAATTCTAATGTAAAACTTCTAACAGCTTTTGACAGAAGTCATTAACACTTGGTGACCTAAAGGCCTTTTCTGATCTTAGTGTATTTAAAAGCAAAGCTGAGTTGCTTTGCTAAAAGAACAAAATGTCGTTGCCAGTCTGATTGATCTTTGCACATTTTGGTCAGGAAGTTGCTAGACAGAGAAAAGATCTAAACTTTATAAGAGAATTCTAAAATTTCTGTTGATGTTCGTAACCTGACTGTAAGTTTGACCATATGATTAACATACTTGTGCCAAGTTTGGCTTCTTGAAAGATTCTGTGTGTATTGTTTGCATAGTTGCTGGGGCCTTCACAAAATCTCATGCTGGAGAATATCATCATACGCAAAGATTCAGTGTTGAAATACCTGCAACACAAAATACAGCAGGGAAAAGAATCTCTTTCATGAGGGCAAAAATAACTTTTTCTGGTGTGTTTATTTTCAGAGCTTTCCGTGGTAAACATATCACCCTGGTAGTTCGTTTTCCCAACCAAGGCCGACAGGTGGAAGATTTGGACATTTGGTCTCACACGAACGACACCATTGGCCAAGTGCGGCGTTGCATCCTCAACCGCATCAAAGCCAACAGTGCACACACGAAAGTGGAGCTGTTCATTGGTGGGGAGCTGGTGGACCCTGCAGATGACAGAAAACTCATTGGGCAGCTGAACCTCAAAGACAAAACGGTGAGTGTTGCAGGCTGATTATTTACCTCAATTCAGATGTTGCTTCCCTTTTGTAAATGCTTGAAAAGTACCGTGCACAGGATCACTTATTCTTGTGAAATAGTTCCATTCTTCCTCCTTGTATTGTGCCATTAACATGATATCAGGTGCTTATTTAATAAGGAATCTTAATTTATGCATGGTATTAAAACTGTGATTGTGTTTTTCAGCTAATTACGGCTAAGCTCACACAGATAAATTCTAATATGCCCTCAAGTCCAGATAGTTCTTCTGACTCTTCAACTGGTTCTCCGGGCAACCACGGCAATCACTACAGCGATGGGCCAAATCCAGAAGTTGAAAGCTGTTTGCCTGGAGTGGTAAGCTTATTCTGAAATTAGCAGTTTAAATGCATTTTTTCTTATACTTTGTCTCTAACTAGGAATTTTAATGTGTGGTTTTTTTTAAAATTTGCTTATTTTAAGATCATGTCACTGCATCCTCGGTACATCTCTTTTCTTTGGCAAGTTGCAGACCTGGGCAGTAGCCTAAATATGCCACCCCTTAGAGATGGAGCTCGTGTTCTAATGAAGCTCATGCCACCAGGTAAAACTTAATTTTATCCTTTTTTTATCTTGTAATATCCTCTATAATAATTTCTTGCCTTCATTTTATAGAAAAATGAAGATAGGGGAATATTTTCTACTTTCTGGTAATTTATTGATATTACAATTCATGACTGATCCTAATTAGGACTCTAAATGTTTTCCCAAATAGTTCTTTCTTCTCTGCTATATCAAGTTGCATAGTTTACCGTTGGTATTGGGGTTCAGTGCCACAGTGCAGTGAAAATGGGGAGAAGTATTGTATTCTGAAATGATTTTGTAGCACTGCTTTAACAGGATCACTTTTGACTGTAATAATCATTGCAGAACACTTCATAGTCTGATGTTGTCTGTAGCCTTTTGCAACTGTTCTGATACACTTAAAACTTTTCAGATTTATATTTGTAAATAGTACTGGCTTTTTGTGGAGTAGTTTTGTTACAAAACACTTACAAGTCGTGTTTTTATTGCAGATAACACTACAGTTGAGAAACTAAGAGCTATTTGTTTAGATCACGCAAAGCTTGGGGAAAGCAGCCTTAGTCCATCCCTTGATTCGCTATTCTTTGGTCCTTCTGCCTCACAAGTGCTGTACCTAACAGAGGTTTGTGATGCTTTGCCTGTTCTTTAAAAATCTTTAGCTCTCCCTGTGGCAGTCCTTTCTGTAATGTTATACAAGTCTAAGATCAAGTTCTGGTTTGAAATTAGCAATCAAAAGTACTTAACAATTTACTGGAATAAACATGTGTATGACCAATGCTGTCAAAAGCATTGTTTAAGTAGTGTTCCTACATATTCTCATGTTCAGTATCTATATCCAAGCTGGGGCATTGCTGTTAGTTAACTCTGTATTTTGTTCTACAGGTAGTTTATGCCTTGTTAATGCCTGCCAGTGCACCCCTGGGAGAAGATGCCAGTGACTTCCAATACAACTTCTTAAAAAGTGGGGGTTTGCCTCTTGTGTTGAGCATGCTGACCAGAAATAACTTCCTACCAAATGCAGATATGGAAACTCGAAGGGGTGCCTACCTTAACGCTCTGAAAATAGCCAAATTGTTGCTAACAGCCATTGGATATGGCCACGTTCGGGCTGTGGCAGAAGCTTGTCAGCCAGTTGTGGAAGGCACAAGTACAATTTCACCGGTAATATGAACCTTCCTTCCTGCAAAGGGCTCTGGTTTTTATGTTGTCTGCAGCAACTTCTCTCCACTCTTCATTAACAGTCTATTCTTTGAGTGCATTGCATGCCAAGAACTCCTGTTACTTTCAGATAATGTTGTTTAAAAAAGAGATCAACTTGCTAAAAGAATCCTGTTTCTTTGTGACTATAAAAAGTTAGTGTGAGATGCACTTGCTCTGTATGTGATTTTCAGTGGTTTGCATGATTGTCAGTGCCAGGTAACTTTTAATTTCTAAGTACATTATCCCATAAATTCAGTTCACAAAAAGAATTCTGATTCTTTTGAGCTGCTGAGTCTATTGAAGGATGTGCCTCTGAATTTCTTGTATCTATTAGAGCAGAAACGAACAGAACTGATGTTGAGTCATGCCAGCCCTTTGTCTACATAAAGACAAGTCTTTGGATTGCTAGTCCTAATTCTGAGTGTTGTTTGTAGAAGATTCTTGCAGAGAACAGTTTAGGTACATTGCAAAGTTAAGTGCTGATGGCTGAAAGGTGTCCTACCCTAGGATTTCTCAGTTAGAAAGGGAAAAGTCTGACACAGGTATTCTGAACTGTGATCTCACATGTCTGTAGTAGATTTTATGGATATTTAGTATGGCAGGTTAGTTTTTGTATATCTAGACAAATATGTTCTGGGTCAAGGTTTTATTTGTGTCCTCTTACAGTAGATGGACAGCATAGAGCCCAAAAAGTAAACTTTGCTGCTGTTTGTCTTGGACATTTGCTTCACAAGTATTCCAGCTATTTAGCTATTTTTTTTTGCCTTTTGTGAGGTTCCATCCCAAATAGTTGCTTGAGCTCTCAGTCTGTACTCAAGAATACATAGAGAGTCCCACTTCAATGTACTTTATTCCACAGTATTGACTAAGATCCATCTCTGAAGCAGACAAGTACATTCCCCTTAGGTCTGAAAAATAAATATCCATTATGGTTAGCTACATCTCTTGGAAGATACATGATTAATTCTTTTTTCCAGAGGTGAAGATCTCTTTTCATGTCTCATATTAGAATATAACAGAAACATCTTAAAGCAGACACGTTTGCCACTCTGTCCTTTGTTCTGTTTAAATGAGTAAGTTTTACTGCCCTCACAACATAATAATTTCTTACAACAATTATTTAAAAGGTAGTTTGGAACACAGATATCATCATTTGAGTCTTGAAGTACTGTTTAAAATATATTTATGCTGACTACTTAAGAGGTAGTAGCATTTGTCCATGATTACTGGCATTCACTGTTTGGTGTTGCAAACATCTAACTTAATAATATTAACTGATTTGTTGGAACAAACATGGTTATTCTTGCTGTCATCATCGTCCTGTTTGAAGGACTTTGATATTTTTTGTTATTGCTGCAGCACCAACAAGTTTACACCTTGGAATGGAGGTGAGATTTGTTAATAACTTTCATCTGCCTTATCTAAAGCATAAGTACCAAAGCGTAGCTTTCTGTCTTGGCTTTCCATCAGTACTTGAGAGAAATGAGGTAGCCAGGGTTATGTGTCTGCAGTCTTTCAGTTATCAGTCTGTTGCTATCACTAGTGCCTTTTAAATTTTTACTTTTTTCTTCCTTGTTTTCATAGAAGGTGGAATTAAAAACATTGTCAAACACAGTATTCTGAACTTGATTTGTCCCATGTATATTGTGGTTGATCACTTCCAGCCTGCTTCCAATAATTAATTGACTGTGGAAGCTCTTTTAGTCTTTGGTGGGGGTTCTGTAATTTTGCTCCCTAAATCAACTGTCCTAGTGAAGCTGACAAAGCAAGGGGTGTGATCAAAGGCAGGTGTTACACAGCAACTTCACAGTAGTGTGTCTTTTGAGCAGCATTTGAGGTGGCTTTTTTGAATGAAATGGTACAGAGAAAATGAAGAAACTCTTTTGTTGAAGAAGTTTTAGCTTGTAACCACAGCCCACAGTCTTTTGTTTGTCTGTGAGAAGGAAACAACTGTTTCAGATTTGAACTGTCATAACTGTGAAGGTCTTGCAGCCCAGGGAGAGGGAACTGTATGCTCAAACCAATACAGAAAAGATAAAAACTTGTCTTGCTACTGTTTTGTTATGGAAATACCATAGAAAAAGTGGAGGGATAATTCAGAACAGAATTCTTCAGTAGTGCTCTAACTCAGATGTTTAAAATGTACTTCAGTATAATGAACACTGTAACCATGTACTGTCTGGACACTATTACCTAATCCAGAGGGAGAGCCAATTGTTTAACCAAACCCTTTCTTTCCTACATCAACAGAAAGGGAAGGAGGCGTAACTGTAAACATTCTGTTATGAATAACCTTGATCAGTAATCTGATCAATAAACAAGCTTCCAAACCTAATAAATTTTGAGCAAGTGCCTCTCCTCTTAACTGCTTGTACTCTGTGATCATACACTGCAGCATAAAGTGTCTTCAAATGTGATATCTGTTTGAAAATGAGATTTATCTTGGTGTTTGCAGATTCTGTAAGTAGTTTTCCTTCCACGATCTTGCATACTTCTGCCAAACCTTTCCAAGTAACTTTAGATCTTCATATCTTTTTGCTTTTTTCCCTATGTAAAAGTAAGTATAAGAAGTACTTTCTTCCAGATAAACCAGGCTACGCATGACCAGGCAGTGGTGCTACAAAATGCCCTACAAAACATTCCTAATCCAACTTCAGAATGCATGCTAAGAAATGTAGCAATACGTCTTGCACAGCAAATATCTGATGAGGTTGGTGAATTCCTTTCTCTTTCACCTTTTTTCCTATAGCATTTTTCCTCTTTTTTTAATCCTTAAATTTATTGCATTATAAAACATGGATTTTCCTTTTAAAATTTCATGAAACATTTTAGGTAGTCTTCATATGATTCAATAAGCTATTAATTAAAAGTATTTCTTTGTTTCCATATGCATAATGAAATTTGGTGTCTAATACCATAAAGAGGCTTTAGTGAAGAGGCAGTTTCTGAACAAGCTCTTTAATGGATTGTGAATATTGTTATCCTTAGATCAGAACTTTAGAAAATGGATGTAATAGATTTAAAGAAGTTAATGGGTATTTTGAAAACACTTTTTGTGATACTTTCTTCTTTTTTTGGTCTTCTCTGTTTTGGTTTCTGAGTAACACTCTGTTCCTGAGGAGAAAAACAGAAAGGGGAAGGGAAGTTTAAAGTATTGAGCATTATTTTTAAATGCTGAGAGATTAAAGTCTCAAATCCTTGCCAGTGTATCTATATATATTGAAAATGGATTAATGTTGCAAGTGAGAAGTTGGATTGTGGACCTCAGCAGTGTTAAAGAATGTGCTTTGAAAATGTAATAGTCTTATCCATATGGTATGGCCAAACCCTGTTTAGATGTGGAATCATGAGTCAGTGAATAACATATATTAGTGAATTCTGCTGAAATCAGCAGAAGCTGAAATCAGAACTGCTGTAACTTCCTCTTCCACAGTGCATTGGGTCCCTCCCAGTGTGGAAGCAGTGAAGATGGTGTTTCTGTACTGTATAGCACATCTGCAAAACCATCTCCAAAACATTTCTGAGGTATCTAGGTAGAAGTAGCCTGTATGATCATCTTGGTGTTGAAAAGGGCACTATCCCTGCAGAACAAAGGACTGTGTGTAAGGAAAGCACCATGTACTAGACTGCAAGGCTGACCCATCTGCCTTAGATCAGTGGTGGTGTTGCATCTGTACCTGAAATCAGCCAGTTGAACTCAATTTAATTAAACTGCTTCCATAGAAGAAATGTCTTTTGAGGTGAGGTATGAAGCAAGTTTTTTAATTGTGCCTTTGTCTTTCCTGGAGGACTTCTAATAAATAAATACATTATTTTTCTTTCACCAGGCATGTCAAAGCAAACAAAGGCTGAATTTCTTTAACAGTATTGCTGTTAAAGTTTTATTTGCAAATTTCTGGTATTATGAAAACTGCTGTAGATCTAAATTTCATATGTATCACAGTTTGCCTTTGAAAGGTTTTTTCTTTCTCTTTTTCATGTTTTGATGTTCCATCCAAAAGACTGACTCTTTTTAACTGTCCACACAGTTTTTTAAAAAATAAATCCAACATGATTTCCACAGGCCAGAGAGAAGACTACTGCAGAGAAAGGAATCTTTCACGTTTTTTAAAAATGTTGATACTTGAAGATTTTAAAACTCCAATGAGATAAAAAAACACCCCTGTTACTTTTCTTGTGATGCTGTTGCTCTGAGGTTGCTTAGCTTGTGACAAAGATGAAATACCTGTTACTTTTCTTGTAACTCCAGATAATGTTCGTATCAGTACACAAATGGACACTGTTCAGGTTTCCTGATGCAGAGAGCTTAGTAGTTCAGCCTCCCTTTTTTATTAAGTCTGAACATTAGAAATATGGAACTTGACATTTTTGAGAACTGTCTGCCATCTGCTTTTAGAGGTTGCCTAGTTTTTGGACAGTTCTACGTAGAATACAGACCTTGGCTGTGTTTTGTGTTGTTTTTTAAAGTTGATGCAAACTATAAATAGTAAGTTGTAGTATGTTTTGTAATGTCTGTATATCAGTAAAAGCTATTGGTGCTAACTCAGTCCATGCACGAAATACTGAAGAGTGATTCTGCATTCATAAGATGCATGAGCTGTGTTTTTATTAACGTTAAAACCTGTATATCTTAAATGTAGAACAGTCCCTTTATATCATGATCACATACTTTATAAGCGTCAGTTTGTGGAGCTTGCTATCAGCCAGCACAATAAATACCATGAGGAGGAAAAACCCTGAAATAAGTTTCTGCATTGCTTAAGAGGCTGGCTGCCTTCCAGATGCATGTTTGGTGGTTTCTTGGGGTTTTTTCCCAAATTGAGAAATTCAGCATTGAATTTGGTAGTTTCTGCTAAACCTTAGTCAGTATCAGAATCCTACTTTCTGTTAAAAAATGAAATTTTATTTAAATGGAGTACAAATATTTTCAAGATACATCATCTCTCTTTTTTCTATTTAAAGCAGCATTTATTAAATTTTGAAATTTTAAGTGTTAAATTTTCTATAAAATTCATTTGTGAGAATTTGGACTCCACAGTAATGTTATTTGCAGCTGCATTCTAATGTTGCTTTGGTTTATTTCTCTCTTTTTTTCAGGCTTCAAAATACATCCCTGATATCTGTGTTATCAGGGCAGTACAAAAAATTGTCTGGGCATCAGGCTGTGGGTCAGTTCAGCTGGTTTTCAGCTCAAATGAGGAAATTAGTAAAATCTATGAAAAGGTAAGAATTCCTAAGTAACTGCTTTTTTGTGAAACTGTTCATTTGTTTATAAAAGAGTCTGTTGACCACATCAGGCTTAGGGTGTTGAGCTTTTAGGTGTGTATACCCTGGTGTTGATATATTTCAGAGTTCAGTATAGGTTTTTGTCATACCACAGTTTGTTCTATTCCAGATTACTTTTCTCAGTAACTGTTTAATTGTAGCTTCAATCTGGTGTCAGTTCAAAAGTGCACCAGTTCTGTAAGCTGCTCTAACATGCTTTCAGCCCAGTTAGATTCTGTATCTAAATAAGGAATAAGTATTTCTTGCAATACTAGTTTTTCTGGTCTTCAAACTTAAAAGGTCTGTTCTCCAAAAGCTGATTTAACACATATGTGTTGTCTAGAATGAAAACCAAGAGCTAATTTATGTGAAACTAGCACTGGAAAAAAATTAATTGCTAATCCTGTATGACCTTTTTCTTTTTATTAGGTAGATATGTAAAACATCTTGATGGTTTCACACATGGTTTACACACATAGTTTGGAGTTGGGGGTTATGCATCGGTGCAGTATCACACACTTTGTGTGTAATGTTGTTTACAGTTACAGGAAATAGTAATATGTATTTTGACAGTGATTTTTTAAAAAGTATCTTTTTGTTCTCTGAGCATCTTCTCTTGTTCATCTTAAAAAAATCATGTTTAGGACTTGTCAATGCTTGTCTAAGAGCAGAAAAGAAAGGAATCTGTAAGGGGGCTTTATTCTTGGAGGATTAGCTGCTGTGCTTAGGTGATCAGTCAGAAGAACATTTACTTCAGCAAAATGCAACACCTTTACATTTACCTCACGTAGTGGTATTGTGGCTTCTGCTTCTATTGCTGTGAGCATGACTTCTTCACTAAATAAATTGGGGCTTTGGGGGTTTTTAGGTGATAAACTGGCATATAAAACATGGTTTCATTAGTGTGACAGTCCAAGCACACAAACATATGCTCTTGTATCTACACATATGATGTTTTAAGAACAGCAGTGCACTGGAGAAAATACACCTGAAAGAAAATAAAGCTAAGTGTGCTTTTCTAACATTTTTCTGGCAGTTAAGTTCTGGTAAAATTACTTTGAAAGCAGTCATCCTCCAAAGGATTTTATGGGTTTTCTGTTTGGTTTTTTGTTTTATTTATTCTTATTGACACTTATATGGACATTTTTGATAAATGGCAGCTGCATTTGGTTTATGCTAGGCAAAAGGGGAATAAAAATTGAAGGGAAAAATTTGAAATTAAAAAGAGGAAGAAACTGCAGAGGTAATAAGAAGGAGGAGAAGGTACTCTTCGCTAGTGTAACATAAAAAAGAGGAAAGTATCCTGGAAATAGAGGAACATCATGGAAGAAAGGTCACATTCTTATTTTAAGAGAATTGTGTTTGCTTATAGATGACAGGAAGTAACTTTTATGATGGTTTTATAAAGATTGAATATACTGATGGCTTTTAGAGGAAAAAGTATTTTAAGGAAAATGCTTTCAGTTTCCTAAGTTAACCACTAAACGTTAGACTTTAACTCATAGGTCCTAGAAGTATTTTACTAAGTGTGTGGAATAGAGATTTATCATTAAATGTTAGTTTAAGAACAAAAGCAGACTCATTTTTGTGGAATCAAGAATGACATGTCAGGATTCCTGAAAACATCAAAGACTGCAATGGGAAATTATTTTTTTAAGAGGCATTTCAGACTAGCGCCATCAAGAATGACTTCTGAAAGAATGCTGAGCACCTAAAGAAGCTTCTGAACTTAACTGGTGAATTGAATTAAACTTTAAAGCCCAGTTAAATTATTTTGAGAGCATAACTTGTATGGAGTCTCTTCTGCCTCCTGCCTCCAAAAGTTCTGGTGTGAGAATCCTCTCTGTGGCTGAAGATGACTTTTTGCAGCTACCAGTGGTGTCCAACTGCCTTTGCCTCATTAGCTCAGAGAAGGATCCTGGACACCAGAAATACTCCAGATGTGCTACTTGGACAGACCCCTCAGCTCCTGGTGCCTGAGTGTAGGGAAGTACTTCCCTGAGTACAAAATGCACTTTGCTGTTCTCCTGGAGCCCTGCAGCAATGCAGAAATAACTGTCCTTTTTGAACAGGGGGCAGTGCAGAGCAGGTGCAATCCTGAACTTGTTGGAAGCACCTCTGTTTGCTTTAGGATCTTGAGCTGTGTCAGAGTGACCACATCCTCCCACTGCAGTGTGGTGACTGTCTCTGATTTTTTAGCTGCTGTGCAAAGACTAAGTAGTGTTTGTTACCAGACTGAGGCATCCTTTGGCCTGTTCACAATTAATTCTCTTTCCTGCGTTGCAATCCCTTCTTTCTGCCTACTTAATCTTGATGCCTTCCCACATATAAAACAAATAATTAATGCCTTTAGTAAATGTTACTAACCTGCATGATTTATAAATGGTGAATGGAGACCTGCTCACATTCAGTTTCTTCAGAACTTCTTGAAGATAATTACTTTTAGGTGGAGGAGAGGGCTTGCCATTATTCTTAAGAGTATTTATTTTGGAGAAATGTACCAAAATCAACTCACTTGATTTTCTGTACCCATTAGCAATAATATTACTTTCTACTTCAAAAATCACCACACAGCTATGTTTGAAATTTGGTTCAGCTCTCTCATGTTTCTGAAAAATAGTGATGAATAAATTCTAGTAGTATTAAGAAGCTTTTGGTCAAATAAGCTGTGAGTGTCAAAGCCTTGTAAAACTGGATTTAATGATGGATTATAAAGCACTGTAGCCTTTCTGTGCTTAAGTAGTAACTGTTTTCCATGCTTTACACTCCATGTTCTGAGTATTAAAAAAAAGCAGAAGAAAAGAAAACCAAAGAAACCCCCAGATACAAACCAACAAACAACTCCAACAGTACTAACTGATGAAACTTCTGCTTGCAAGCTTCCTATTTAACTTCTGGCTCCTTCAGTTCATACTTGGAATCCTCCTTTGAGAAGCACAGTACTGGAAGTTCAAGTCATCCTACACAGTGCTTTGACTCAGATCTGAGTGCAGTGCATAAAATACTTGGCAATGATAATCACTTAGTGTACAAATTTGTGGTTTGTGTTTGTATTTAGTGGATATACCTTGGAGCCAGTTGGGTTTCTTGGGATTTTTTTCTATACCCACTTTGTGCACTCTTGTTTGTTTTCACAGACAAATGCAGGAAATGAACCAGACCTAGAAGATGAACAAGTTTGCTGTGAAGCACTGGAGGTGATGACCCTGTGTTTTGCTTTGATTCCAACGGCACTGGATGCACTCAGTAAAGAAAAGGCATGGCAGACGTTTATCATTGATTTACTGCTGCACTGTCACAGCAAGTAAGTTTTGATTTTTTTTTTAATCACATCTACTGTTTTACAATTCAAAATTCATATGAAGCCTAAATGCAAAGCAGTGACTTCTTATTTAAGTGATTTTTCTCTGCAGCTGTCTTAATTATTGTTTAGCACTGTAAATCTAATTTGGATACCTGTTCTAAATATCAATCCCATTTTCTTTGTACTCATAAGGAGGATATTGTCAGGCTGGATGGATGGGTGTCTGATAATGTGCTACTGATGGCTTTAGAACAAATTATTTGTGGTGCTCTCAGATGAATGGGGTCAGAATTTCAGCACCGTGTTTTGGAGTTTTACTTTTCTAGATAAACAGGTTGAAAATTCTTAGATTCAGGAATATTCAAAAGGATCATCAGAGTATCTCTTTACAATGAACAATTTGCACACGTTGGTGAAACTGTGGAATGTTACCAGAATACCACAAACTTTATTAGTTTGCAGCCTCTGGTGTAGGGTGTTGAATTTTCAGTTTCACTGAACCTTGCTAGTATCACTTATTGTTTGGAAAAATAGTTCATTGTGTCAGTACAAGAAGCTACCACTGAGCTCTTTTCTCTCATATGCTCATAAATGTTGTGATACATATGATAATCTCATTTAGAGTAGTGCATCTCTTCATTATTAAATGATAGAATAACATAAACATGATAGAAACAGGAGACTGCTTGTGATTGAAGATGGAGAAATTGAACTAAGTTGCTAAAAAGTTCCTCTTCTGAATTAATGCGGAAACAAATTAATGTTTGCAGAGAGAGAAAATTTAGCAAATACCAGACAGAATTCTGAATATCCTTCCATTTTCAACTATTGTTCTCTAATCTCCTAAGCTCAATCAGAGAACAATGTGAGCAAAAATACACATGTGAGAAAATGCACCATAAAAGAGAAGGAAGATGATCAAGTTCAGATCTCACAAATAGGATCTTTCTGGAAAAGATCAGATGGATTGCTTGTTTTTCAGAGATTGAGACTTTTGCTGTTTCCTCAGAGCATAACCATTGAGAAACAATGCAGCATGTTTGGTATTAAATACTAGAGCTGTTCTTCCTCTCCAGGGTAATTGATTTTCTAATGGTGTCCCCTGAATGCAAGACTGGCTTAGTCAACAGTGGATTGTTGAACGGTTAGTCCTAAATAATTGTGGAACCCAGAAGTATTCCACTGATCTCTGCAAAGTGCTCAGTGCAAAGTGCTTATTTATTTGTGGCCCAAATAAATAAAAATTCTGTGTGCCAGTGTAAAGACGTGCTCCTTAGACCTATTGAAGAGGCTGATTTCTGTTAACTAAGCAGAAATCTGTGTCCTGGAGCTTTCAGTAGGACAGGATTCAGGTTGCCTGCCTTGAGGAGGGAGGTGCTTGACCTCCAGCTGTTTTACTGGGTGAGTGTGAGTTCATCTTGCAACTTGTGTGCTGTGTGCCAGCTCTGTGCTGTTGTCCTGTGTCTGATATAGCATGGGAGGCCTGTGTTTAGGCAGCAGCTTCCCATTCATGATTCCTTAAGAACTCTTAGATTGTTGTAGCCTCACAAAAATATAATACTTGTGTTCAAATAGTGCATACTCCTCAGAGGTATGTGTTTGCTAGGTCACATTTCTCACTTTAGGAAAATGCCACCTCTATCTATTTCATTCTGCATCTACATGCATGGACCTCAGGACTGTCTGTGTGATGTGTCCAAAGCAGTTGAAGGATCGTATCTTAAAATAAAGTTGTGTGAGAAGTTCTATGAAAACGTCAGCTCAGCAGTGGGGTCCCATGAAATGTTGGTTATTGTTCAGAACAAAACAGAGCTCCCCCACCCCATGGTCCTCTGCAGCTCAGAGCAGTGGAGGAGAACTTGTAAAGATCAGAGAAGGGTGACAAGGGAGATCAAAGCTCTGAAATTACTTCCATCTGAGGAACAGCTGAATAGCTGGGGGCACTTCATATTGGAGGAGAGATAAATGGTGGGAGGAGAATACCACAGAGACCCTTAAAATCAGAAGTAGCAAAGGGAGAACAAATAGAGAACATTATTTCTTTGTGTAAGACCTTCTTGAGCAAAACATTTAAGCAGTGTAAACCTTCAGTTTGGAAATGGTTTGAGGGGTTCTTTCATGAACTTGTCCAGTGAAGGCTATGAAATACTGCTTTTGGTAGTCTTCCTGAACCACAAACTGTTAGAAGCAGAGAGAAGATTCTGGAGAAGTGTTGCTGCATCTTCATCCTTCTTGTGCACTTTCCTTTGTGGCTGATAACAGAGACGGGGTGCTCAGCCAGGTGTGTCTTTGCTCTGACCTCAAGGTCATTCTTGTGTATCTTTGAAACACAGTTAACCACACATGAAAGAACTCTCAAGGGAATGGGATTCTTTGGTGTGCTTTCCACACTGACCTCCTGGGCAGAAAACAACGACAACCACACCAGACACTGCAAAATGCAGTTTTTCATATGTTGAGATACTTTCATAAAGCATGGCATTCATGTGTAGTCTCTTCCCACACAAGCAGAGTTGTTCCTAACAGATTTTACAAGACATAATGCTCAGACAATTGATATTACAGCTTGAAAGAATAGGATTTGTCTTAAGCTGCAGTAAAAAACATATTTATCCATTCCTGTGATTAGATTAAGTTCTGAGATGGAAAATTTCCTTTAATTAAAACTACTTGAATTTTCAGGAGGGTCATCTTTTTTCTTACTAATGATAAATTTTGATCACTTCAGAGATGCTCAGCAAATGCTGAGATGCTGTAGTGGTACATAAGAGCAGTTTTACTATGGTAGTTCGGTTTGTCTGTCGGGTACAACTGGTGCTTGATTAGAAAGAAAGAGTTATTTAGGGTTGCAAATTGCTTGTTGTGTTATGCAATATTTGCTGGCATTTGCAAAGCTGTAATGGTTGGATGCTTCCAAGCTTCTTTTACCTTTAAATATTTGATTTGTGGAACAGGTTTTGTAATAGTAATTCACATGTCTGAAATTTCACTTCAAGGAGGAACAATGTGATGGGCTGTGAATAATTAAAATATTCCCATTTCTTACATTGTGTTCAGCTTTAGGAAATGACATTAAGCAGATAAGCTTTTTTTTTTTTTAATGTCCTGTTTGGATAGGGAGATTGAATTTAATGTTTCTATTAAATGCTTTCCAGAACTGTTCGTCAGATGGCACAGGAGCAATTCTTTTTAATGGCTACGAGGTGTTGCATGGGACAGAGACCTCTCCTGTTCTTCATTACCCTGCTGTTTACTGTTCTAGGGGTAAGTTTTTAGAGATAAAGGCTTCAGTACAACGTGAAGTAACAGGAGAAAATATCTGCAAGAAAAGACAAATTGCTATTGGCAGCAGTCACTAAAATAGAGATTCCTTTTGACCCACAGGCAAGCAGCACAGTTGATTTCCATTTGAATCAGGTGAGGGGAAAGGGGACTTTTTTGTATTTTCTGATAAGAACGTGAATAATAAGCTTTAATATCTGCATTTGACCTTTAACGAATGCTGACCTTCAAGTAAAAATCATTAGCAGATTAGAGAGATACCTACAGTCAATGCCTTCTCTTACTGGGCCTGCTGGGGCTTTTCTGTTCCACATGCTTGTGGCCCTCTTGAATTTGATCACTTCACTGTTTGTTTTTTCCCACTCAGGTATAGAAATTGCTACTAAAATAGTCGAGTATTCATTCATTAACAACTAAATACAATTGTAAACTTCTGAAGGGTTAAAAATTACTTTTCTTTCATGTTTACTGCCAGGTTTAGGGAAGATGTGTTGGTGTTGCACTGTAAGTAGAAGAATGTATGAATTCTCTATCATTTGTTTTTGGTTTACATAGAGTACTGCAAGAGAGAGAGCTAAGCATTCTGGAGACTACTTCACTCTCCTAAGACATCTTCTTAACTATGCTTACAACAGTAATATTAATGTACCCAATGCTGAAGTTCTTCTCAATAATGAAATTGACTGGCTTAAGAGGATTAGGGTAAGTCTTAGGATCAGTTTATTCCCAATAATTAGCTTTTTGCTACTTTGTTGTAAAGTACAGTTTTAAGCTTGGTAAATGTGTTACTTGGAGTATCCTTTCTCTTAAATTGGCAGGATGAAGTAAAAAGAACAGGGGAAACAGGTGTTGAAGAAACTATTTTAGAGGGTCACCTTGGAGTAACAAAAGAGTTGTTAGCATTCCAGACACCTGAGAAGAAATACCATATTGGTTGTGAAAAAGGAGGTGCTAATCTCATTAAAGTAAGTTGAAGTTTTTTGACCAGTGAGGGGTTTTTGTCTTTAGGTGGGGTTTTTTGAGGGGGGAGAGAAAAGGTGTTTGTTTTTTTGTTAGGTCTTTTTTTACCCAAAAGTAAGTAAAAAGAAAGCTTTACATCTTGTGGTCTGTATCCATAAAAGTGCTTCTGGAATTCAGTGTTTTCTTTAAAAATAATTTTGAAAATTACGTGTTTTGTTCATAAACTGTACTTAGCTTTCTCATTCTTACTGTATTCCAGTACTTGACAAACATCACACTAGGATAGTGAGCTGGATACAAGACTGTTTTCCTTCATTACCCCGTATTGTCTTTTCTGCACATGTTCTTAATTAGTGCTATTAATACTTATAGCAGGTTTGAACAAATGCATCACATCTGAATACCTCTTTAATCAGACTTGTTTTCTTTGTACCTCTGATATTATACAGCAGGAATGTTGGTTTTTTTCAGCAGTAATTGATAGAGAGCTTTTTAGATAATACTGGTTTGGCAAGAGAAATTTTTTACCAATCAAGAATAGTACAAATTTATTTTTAACTTGCAGTGGGGAGGTGAGTTTGCAGGGAACCACTTTAGAATGGAGTTACTCAGTTCTAAATTTAAAAGCTCATTATAGTGTTGGTCTCAATTTTGACTCACTTTTTTTTTAAGTACCCCTTTGGTTCTCAGACGTTCATTTAACGTAATAACTCTTACACTCTTATAAAATTGTGTGCATTTCCGTGGTAACAGGTGATTTATTTTCTTTTTTTTTCAGGAGTTGATAGATGATTTCATCTTCCCAGCATCCAATGTTTACCTACAATACATGAGAAATGGAGAATTGCCTGCTGAGCAGGCCATACCAGTCTGTAGTTCACCAGCTACTATTAATGCTGGCTTTGAGCTCCTAGTTGCACTAGCAGTTGGATGTGTGCGAAATCTCAAACAGATAGTAGACACGTTGACTGAAATGTATTACATAGGTACAGCAATCACTAGTATGTAATACTTTTAATTATCTATTTTCTACTTTTTAATATATATATCATGTATAGGTTTTGTTTATTATGCACTGAAGCAAATGCTGAGTGTTTTAGTTTGTGGTTTGTGTCTGCTTTTAATGTTGCAAAATCAGGATGTCAGAATCTAGGAAAGTTTGTCAGTGTAGCCTTTATTGTCCTTCTTTATGCAGTAAATGTACTGACTTGCATTACATAGTTGCATCCAAATTCCAGCCCCAGCCACTTACACTGTCTGACCCTTCCTGTCCCAATCTCTGACTACTCCCCTTTGTCCATGCCAGCTCCCAGGAACCTCATTCTGTCTGTATCTTCTACTTCTGTCTCATCGTTTCAGGCTCTGCCTAACCAATCCCAGAACCTCATCAGGTATCTTTGGCTCAGCTTTAGTGCCAGTCTCTTGGTTGCTCACCTGATTTGTCATCGTTTTCCACACACAGACACAGGTCCACTGTCCTGTTTCCCTTTTTAGTTCTGAACTCATTCTCTGGTTGTCATAGTCCTTTTTCAAGCATTTGTTTGCTCAGTTTTGGCCTTGTCTCAGCACTGCTCTGCACTGAAGGAGCTTTCTCCTTCTCACTGGAGAAAGATTATAGCAATTGCAGTATATACAAAAACTTGCCAATATTAGTGCTTCCCCAAATCTTTGTTCACGAAGCCTAGCCATGATAATGATTAGTGCTTCAAAAGCTAGTAGTCAGATGAAACTTGAGCTAATTTTCACAAAGATGGCAAAAGGCTCATACTTTAACATGGATTTTTGTTGTCAGTAAAAAGTATATAAGACTTTCTTAGAAGTGAACAAAGAGGAGAATATTTTCTCCAGCCCTGAGTGGGATAACGAAACCATTTTGGCTGTAATATTAACAGGGAAAGGGAAAAAAGAAAAAAAACCTCAACACCAACAATAAGTAAAAATCCAAACACCATCAAACCAAGCAAGCCCACACTCATATGGGAGGAAAGGCTGGTAGAGCTGGGGTTGTTCTATCTGGAGAAGAGAAGGCTCCTGAGGTACCTTATTGTGGCCTCCATTACTTAAACATGACTTATAAGAAAGAGAGAGTTTTCTACCAGGGTCTATAGTTACAGGACAAGAGGCAATGATTTTAAACTGAGAGAGAGAGAGTACATTTGTGTTGGACACAAGGAAGAAATTCTTCACTATGAGAGTGCTGAGATGCTGGAGTAGGTTGCCCAGTGAAGTTGTGGATGCCCCATCCCTGAAAGTGTTCAAGGCCGGGTTAGATGGGGCCCTGAGCAACCTGGTCTGGTAGAAGCCCATGACAGGGGTTTGGATCTAAAAGATCTTTAAAAGTCCCTTCCAGCCCAAGCCATTGTGTGATTTAACAGAATGTTTAAACTCAGAGGGTTCAACCAAACTGTGAGCAACTAAAAATAGTGTCCCAAGGAGGGAATTGTCCGTTACCCCTCACAGTGGCAGTGCTACTTGCTCAGGTGGTGCCATCAGTGAGTCATTTGAGGTTTTTCAGTCTCTTCCTTTTTAATTCCATCTCAATAAATGAACAGGGCAGCTTTATGGTGTTCCCCTCTGCCTCATCCTTTTTTCTTCACCCTTTTCTATTGGGAAGTAGTGTGTTTCTTGTCACTTCACAATTAGAAGGATTTCATTACATTTCCTTCTACTCCAGTATTTGGTAAGCACGATAGAACACCACATCTCCGTGGTCAGAGAGAGGAGACAACACATGTATGAACTCTGCATGCTGTGTGATTCATATACCAAGTTTGCTTGCAAACATGCATGCTCTCTTATGTCAGAATTTTTTGTGTTAAAACTACAGGGCTACAGGTTAGCTAGGAAATTGTGATCATAAATGTACTCTGAAGAGATGTGATACATATTTTTTCCTCCCGAGTCTTCTCTCTCAGATCCCTCACAAGTCATAAAGATAGCATTTCCTAAAACTGTTTCCCATCCTGGCAATGGAAAGTGAGGCTTAAGTGAAATAATTTTAAATGATTTTAAAAGGATTATAAATTTCTTAAAGGCTTATAAATTGATTATATATTCTAGATTCATTCAACTGAATTCTTCGGCTAAGAAGCTTGGTGGTATTGAGGAAAGACTTCTGTTTCATATCTAAATAGACTTGAATTTTTGCCTGGACACCTCTTTAGTTATGCAATAGAAGAAAATTATATAATGTCAAGATTGCAAATAGAATTGTCCTTCATAGAAGTTGTGTTGATTTTAGCAGTTAAGTTTTCTGGTGAAACGTTTGTTTTATTAAACTGCAGTGTGATACAGACTAATAACAATTCTATGCAACTGCCCTTTATGTTGCATTGATATTCTCTTTATTTTATAACAAAATAGTTCCCTTATCATATTCTGCTTTTTTCTTCTAGCTTGTGAAGCTCTTACAGAATGGGAATATCTACCACCTGTTGGGCCTCGACCACCAAAGGGATTTGTAGGGCTAAAAAATGCTGGTGCCACTTGTTACATGAATTCTGTCATTCAGCAGCTGTACATGATTCCAGCCATCAGGAATGGGATTCTTGCCATTGAAGGCACAGGCAGTGATGTAGATGATGACATGTCTGGGGATGAAAAGCAGGACAATGAGGTAAATTTATTTATGTAGAACTGGCTTATCTTTAACTAGTAACTCTTTTTTGATGAAAAGGTTATAGCAAATTTCAGTTGTTAATCAATCACTGATTTCCACTGATAGCAGTGGGGAAAATAGCATAATATTTCTTACTTGACTAGGCTCACTACCAGAGGGGCAGTTCAGAAGATCCAAGCAGCAAGGTTTGCAGAATTCCTCCTCATGGATCTGTACTGGAAAGGAACGTGTCTTATTGCTGCCACCAGAACGTTGTTAATGCATACAAAGACAGTATTTGATTTTTCAGCTGAGAGTATGAAACATCCTAGATTGTCAAATTAAACAAGAGATACAACAAGCTTTGAGCCAGCTACATATCAGTGTTAATGGCACAAATTTTCTTTTGCTTTTCAGAGCAATGTTGACCCACGAGATGATGTGTTTGGGTACCCACATCAGTATGAAGACAAACCAGCACTGAGTAAAACAGAAGATAGGAAAGAGTACAATATTGGAGTTTTGAGGCATCTCCAAGTAATTTTTGGTCATTTAGCAGCTTCCAGGCTACAGTACTATGTACCAAGAGGGTTTTGGAAACAATTTAGGTAAGTAGAAAATTTAATATTGATGTTTGTTCACTGCATCAGTAGCAGAAATGGTGGTGATGTAAAGCATATGTGATTTACAGTGATCTAAGGTGTAAATTAGCAGAACTTGTGCAGCATTGTATTTGTTACCCTGCCTTCTCACCATTCTGTAAAAGTCTGTTAATAAACCAAAGTTTACATCAGGATGGTTATTTTGAATTTTGGCAGTTCTTGACATTGATATTGAGACTGAATTAAGTGTAAAGTTACACACAAAAGCTTTTTTTTTTTTACTTACCAGAAAGTATTAGGGACAGAGTAACAGGTGATATACTACATCAAAAACCAATAAATAGTTTCCCTCAGTAAGGAGGGATTAATAGCTTGAATATTTTTATTTTTTTTTAGAAAAGCAGTTGTTGAAGAACTAAACAAAAAATACTTGACAAGATTGTGCTTTCATTTTCAGACTTTGGGGTGAACCTGTAAATCTACGTGAACAACATGATGCTTTAGAATTTTTTAATTCCTTGGTGGACAGTTTAGATGAAGCTTTAAAAGCTTTGGGCCATCCAGCAATGTTAAGTAAAGTTTTAGGAGGGTCCTTTGCTGACCAGAAGATTTGTCAAGGATGCCCACATCGGTAAGTGTTTAAGATTTTTCTCTTTTTTTTACAGGAAAACCACCTATGTTTGTGTTCTTATAAAAGTGATTAGAGTCAAGAGTGGGGGTTTTGTGTGATTTGGGTGTTGGATTTTTTTTTTAAAGCTAATAGACTTTTATTTCTTATTTTTTTATAGCCTTAATTTGTGTTCAAGTGCCTTCTTAATTATTATTGCTTCTACCTTGCAGATTGTATGTGAAGCATTGTGTATTGATCAGGGCAGAAAAAGATAATGCTTTTTCATGTTAAAAGTGAAAACAATTTAGGGACCAATTGCAATGTAGAAAATTTTAAGACCTGGCCAACAACTGTCGCTGTCTTCAGTCTTCCATACTGTGTGTTTAGAGCTGACCCAAGTGTGAGTCTTTAGTTCCAATGAGTAAACTCTGTTCATATTCACAATGTAACCTGTAATTAAGAAGAATGGTGTAGAAGGTTAATCTTTTTCTTAAGGCTTCTGCTGTATTTGTATTTAACTTTAAATGTGAATACTGAATTTCAGTTTCATACAGGATATGTAAAAACACACTCATACCAAATCCAACTGCAAGTCTGTAGCTCACTGGTGATGGTGATTAGTGAAGGAATAGAAGCAGACATTGTAAAGTTGTAATTCCCTAGACTTTTTCACCTATCCCTATATATCCCATCATATATCCCTTTTCAGGTGGATGATTAAAATGGCATGCAAGACTCAGGATGACCTAATGGTGAACTTGTTCTTTTTCAGCAGTTGCTTTTATATTATTGTGTTTGATTTCATTTCACTATCAGTTGGCCTCTTTACTGTTCAGATCATGTGTGGTTCTTAAAAAATATAGATCTCTGCACATTACTGTTGCAAATCCTCTTTATTGTGAAAATTTGCTATTTACTAGAGCCTTCAGTTAGCAATTAAAATACAGGGGAAAATGATACAAATGGATTATACTGTGGTAATCTTTCAGCTTCGGTTGAGCTCATGTGTGAATTAGAAGAATTTATAAGTGGCACATCTTCAGTTTCATGGGTTAAAATGTGTGACTAGAATTAAGTTGAAATATTGCAAGATAAATGAAAGCACTGATTTTACTTCATATGCAGTGGGTAATTAAATGGCAAATACAGATCTGAAGCAACAAGAATTACCAGTCGTTCCTGTTATTATGTACTATCCTAAAGTATTGCCTGTCTTTTTAGAACTCTACTGGATTTGCATGATTGTACTTAATAATAAAAATGTTACCCTGCTTGTAGTTTAGGGAGGAGAAAACTGATGATAAGTAAACTGTGGATTTGGGTATGACAAATTAACAGCATTTCTGTATTTTGTAAGTTATTTAATAGGTGAATGTATATTACTGTTGGTGGAAGCGTCTCTAAATATTTATTTATTCATCCTTGAATGCTTGATTGCATGTCAGAGGAACAAGCCTTTCAGGATTATGTTGGAATAGATGCCACTTTTTTAATTTATTCATCACTTCTTTATCTTTAAAAACAAAAACATATTTCCAAGATGTATCAACTGGTTGTCTCTCAAGCATTGCTGATTCATTGCTAGACATTTGTTTGAAGGTTATATTAGAACACAGTACGTCAAAGGCAGTCATAAATATGCAAAATGATTTTATGAAGACAGCTATTCATTTTTTTTTTCAGATAGAAAATACAAAGGCTTTTTGTTTGTTTGTTTGCTTAATTGGAATCTGTTTTGAACTGTTGTCATTAGATGTGATACAGTATTTGTGTTTATCAGTCTAATTCCTGACTGTAAAGATTAGCAATGGAAAAGTGCTCTGCTCTGCTCTCTGTGCTTTCCTACTCGCTTGGTTTGCCAAGAGTCTGTCACGCTACTTTAGCTGCTTTAAAAATGTGATGTGCTAAAAAAATCAACTTCCATGATCTTTTCAGTGAACTTGAGACATACAAGTCATTTTTATGATCTTCATAAAGTAACTATAGTTAGTGCAGATGAAAAAAATACAGTGTGCACATATTGTAATGTAATTGTAGGAAGAATGAAATAAAAAAGAGTTCAATTCCTTTTTTACTGCTTTCACACTGTAGCACATGTAAAACATGAAAATAGAACATATTTCTATCTTTCTCATGCATTTGCCTGTTCATTGGTAGGTATGAATGTGAGGAATCCTTCACAACTCTGAATGTAGATATAAGAAATCACCAAAACCTTCTTGATTCTTTGGAACAGTACGTCAAAGGAGATTTATTGGAAGGTGCAAATGCGTATCATTGTGAAAAATGCAACAAAAAGGTAATGATTCCTTATGTTTTGAATTTGTGTACAACTGTGATGTTACAGCTGTACTAAGTTCAGTCTTAGTTCGTGTTCAGGGGGAAAAAGTCACCCTTTGATTACTGAATTTGGTATTTGGTGATAGTATATGAATGGAAACTTAAAGAGCTGCTCGTGTCCTTTTTTAGGTTGATACAGTGAAACGCTTGTTGATTAAGAAGTTGCCTCCAGTTCTTGCCATCCAGTTGAAACGATTTGATTATGACTGGGAAAGGGAATGTGCAATCAAATTCAATGATTATTTTGAATTTCCACGAGAACTGGACATGGAGCCTTACACGGTGGCAGGTGTAGCAAAATTGGAAGGGGATGACGTGAATCCTGAAAATCAGATAATACAAAATGAACAGTCGGAAAACGAACACTCTGGGAGCACAAAATACAGGCTTGTGGGTGTGCTTGTGCACAGCGGCCAGGCCAGCGGCGGACATTACTACTCCTACATCATCCAGAGGAACGGTGGAGACGGTGAGAAGAACCGGTGGTATAAATTTGATGACGGAGATGTGACAGAGTGTAAAATGGATGACGATGAAGAAATGAAAAATCAGTGTTTTGGTGGAGAATACATGGGAGAAGTATTTGATCACATGATGAAGCGCATGTCCTACAGACGCCAGAAGAGGTGGTGGAACGCTTACATTCTTTTTTATGAACGTATGGACACAATAGACAAAGACAATGAACTAATAAAATATATTTCAGAAATAGCTATCACCACTAAACCCCATCAGATTAAAATGCCATCAGCCATCGAGCGAAGTGTGAGGAAGCAGAACGTGCAGTTCATGCACAATCGGATGCAGTACAGCCTGGAATATTTCCAGTTCATAAAGAAGTTGCTTACTTGTAATAGTGTCTACCTAAATCCTCCTCCAGGTTAGTATGTTACTGTGATAATTATGGATTAACTTCTTGCAAGAAGAGTTTTGATTCGTGTGGTCAATATTTTGTCAAGCCAATGAAAATTTTGTGTGTTCTGCTGTGAATACTCTGTCCTCCTGGACTTCTGCAGTTAAACATCCGCTGTTGAGTTGTTCATAAGGGATAAGTTGCCAGAATATTTAGGAAAAAATACTTTGATAAGCTGTCAGCTGTTACTCAGCTTATGTACTAAGTCAAGTTAAACTACTGAAGTTTGGGGGCTGTTCTGCTGAAAACAGTTCTCAAGGTGAGATGCTGAATTTCTAGAATCAGAGATATGTTAACATCCAGGTACCTGTCTTAAAGCTTACATTTTCAAATGATGCCTTATAGAAGATAGAGGCTGTTTTGATCAAGTTTCTTGTTAAAATTGGAACACCATGTTAGACAAAATCAGTTACATTATTATAAGTTGCTTTTATTTTGTCTACATGTGAGTATTTTGATTTTTCTTTAGGACAAGATCATCTGTTGCCTGAAGCAGAAGAAATAACTATGATTAGTATTCAGCTTGCTGCTAGATTTCTCTTCACCACAGGATTTCATACAAAGAAAATAGTCCGTGGCCCTGCTAGTGATTGGTATCTTGTCTTTTAACAACACTTACAATTTTGGAAGTTTGATATCTGTTAAAAGATCTCTTTTAGATACTTATGATAGTAAAAAGTGTATGTGGTCTGTCTTCTTTTCTCCTCTTCACAAAATGTGTGGTGAAGGTGCACGTGAAAAGGGGGGAAAATTTAAACAGAAAATACTGGGAAGAAACTGAACCTTAAAATAAACTTCCTGAGGTGACCATCTTCAAAATTCATTTTCAGACACAGCTTAAATCTACCTTTTGTATGTCTTGTAAAACAAATAAAGGACTAGAAGCTGTCGGTAGCACAAAACTAACAGGTTATGTTTTCTGACAAATTCAGAATGGTTTATTCATTGTTTGAGTAGTTTTGAACAAAGCTGGTTTGAATCTATTGTTGCAGCTTATATTTGTATTGTTTGTGTAATGTGTATAGTCTCTGAGACCCTGTTAGCAGAGAGCTTTGTGTACATTGCTACAGGGCCTGTAATTCAAAGCCATAGTACAACAAACAAGACAAATTATACTCACTGCACCACAACATATTAGTCTTTAAGTTCAGTTATTTTGTGCTAGAGGGAGAAGTGTGGGTTACTACTGGTCAAACTGAAGAGAAAATCTGGTATTCATGGTGAGCAGTAGTTTACCAGCTGCTAGTAAGTAGTTTTGTAATACAGGGCAAATACATATCTCCAATAGCAGATTCCAGAGTAGCTGAGTTACTCCAGTTATTTTAAGACATCAGGAAGAGTTCAAATACTACTGCAGGAAGGAGGACAGATTCATGCAAGGCCCTGTCTGAAACAGATACTTTACTCTTTGGGTATTGGTTTTTTTGGCTTGTGTGTTTTTTAGATCTGTAAATGAGAGTGTGAATTCCTGTTAGGTTGCATATTTAGTTACCTGTCTCATACCCAGCTCATAAAATCCACCTTGTTTTCTCTGCTGCTCACCCTCTACCCCAGTTCTAGTACAGAGGGAAGAGTGGCTGCCAAAATAGGACCTCCTTTGAGCAGTAAGGAGTTTGGGGGTTCTTTAGTTAGTTCTTATAGATAACAGAAGTAAAATGCTTCAGTTAAATGTTAGGTTTTAATTGAGTGTACCTTTAATTTGTGATTGCACATAACAGAACATCACTCTAGAAAGTACAGTTTATGTAATTGGAAGCATTAATGTTTGGGAATCACCTTTAACATGTGATTTCTTGAAATTCTGCAAAAGAACACATCTGCCAAATTCATTAATATCTACATGTGGTCATAATCTCAGTTGTGCCATTTTCTGTTTCAGGTATGATGCATTGTGCATCCTCCTTCGTCACAGCAAGAATGTACGCTTTTGGTTTGCACACAATGTCCTTTTTAATGTTTCAAACCGCTTCTCTGAGTACCTTCTGGAATGCCCTAGTGCAGAAGTGAGGGGTGCATTTGCAAAACTTATAGTATTTATTGCACATTTTTCATTGCAAGACGGACCATGTCCATCACCTTTTGCCTCTCCTGGACCTTCCAGTCAGGTATTTAATCTTCAAACAAAAAGGTTTTTCAACTTATTCTTACTTCTTCATTTATAAGCATTTAATGCTAAATAAATTCTGGAGTAGATGCATCAGTGTTGACTGGAAATCTCTGCAGGCCATTTTGCACTACAGCAGGATGTAACTCCACGAGTTTGTGAGAGAGATGCTGTCAGAGGGGTTCAGTTTCCCCTCATTTGTAAATCTCTGTGAAGACTCAGCAGTGAGAACTTCGAGTTGCAAGTGTGAAATAGTGGCTTTTTTACTAAAGTAATGTGTAGAGAAGTGAACCCTTGCTTTGCATTTAGAATTTTAAACAAGTAAATAAGCCCCACAAAAAAGCAAACAAAAATAATATAACTGAAAACCTGCAGGAGTTCCCTAAGTTTTCATCCTGTATCCTGCAACAGTTAAAATTGTAACTTTGAGGAGGAGTAGGCAATGAGTTGCCTAGTTTTATACACCTAGAACTGACAAACAAAAAAAAAAACCTATAACTTAATGTAATACTTGTCATAACAATGTTTTTATTTGGACTCTATTAAAATTTAGAAGATGAACCTTTTTGAGCCTTTTCTCAATCATGTTTTTACTGTCTACAGCAAGATACTTCTGATTTGTACACTTCCACTTACCTTCTCAGAATGTTATCACTGCTATATCCAGCTAAAGAATTTGTTTTAAGTTAAAGTTACATAGGCTTTAGCAGTGTTTTGTTTCATGAAGTATTAGAGATACACCTGTAGGGGTGATTTGGTTGTCTGAGTGTGTGAAGTTGACAGTGGAACTGCACGTGTGTTTCTTATTTCAGCCTATCTGCTGTTGGAGAAAAAACTCAGCTAAAAGCTTCTCTACTTGCATAATTTCCTGGACTTAACATGGTACTGAGTGATGGGAGTCTTGTTCCCTGTGTGTCTGTTTGTCTTGTGTGAGGTACAGAAGATTAACCAGCTGCTGGTATTTTGGAGCTTGTCTGGATCCCATACCTTTAAACCAGTTCTGTTTTCTGTCGTAGTAGAAAGTATAAACTAAATAAAGATATGTTCAACCACTGACATTAAAACTTTTTCTTTCAATAGGCTTATGATAACTTAAGTTTAAGTGATCATTTACTGAGAGCGGTACTAAATCTGCTAAGAAGGGAAGTATCTGAACACGGGCGCCACTTGCAGCAGTATTTCAACCTGTTTGTGATGTATGCCAATCTAGGTAAGGACACTGCACACACTTCTACTCATGGCACTGTAATAAACTGGTTTTTGATTAATGGTCATTTACAGAGGTGTAACAGCAGGAGAATCCAGTTTTCCATCCTCAAGTAGATTGTTATCATTATATGTCATATAAATGCTCCCTAGAGCGTCTGTCTTCCTCCAGTTTGGAGCTTGGGGCTTTAGTCTTCCTGCCATCCTTGGAAGATAAACATGGGAAGGTGGGAGCAATAAGACTGTGTCCTTCTGAGAGAGGGTGGGGTTAGGTAACATTTTAAAAAGTCCTTGACCATTGCTGTTTATCAGCTCCTGCAGGAAGTTATAAATGTTGGATTACTTTGTGGCTAAAGTGTTAATTAAGTGTATCAATCCAAAGGTAGCTATGTCAGAGTTCCCACATGGGATTGTCACACGCAGACACAAGAGTTCTGTAAGCTCTTCCAAGTAGGTAGACACTTTTAAAAGGAATTTAATTTCCTATCTGTAAAATTAATCTGGACAATTGTGTTAATCTAATTACACCTGTAACATCTGTTGCTTTCATATACTTTGTCTACCAAAGGATTCTCTGTCAGGCATGTTCCACCATGACCCCCAGAGTGGACTTAAAGTCAATACAGAGAAGAAAGATGCAATTCTTCTGCTCTGCCTTCTCTTTTCTTCTTTACTAGTTTTTCATAGTCAGTCAGTACAGTTGAGGTCTCCAAGCAGGAGAGCATTCAGAACCCAGGGAAAATACAATTTTATGTGTGGATCTGATAATTTTCACAATCTACTTGCAAAGATAAACCTGGAAATACAGTGCTAAGCAGTTGTGCTTGTCTTACTACTGTTACCTGAAGGCTTCTGTATTGATGTAGACCTCATTCATTAAAAGCCACAATAACATCTTTCCTGCAGCATCCCAAGTTCTCTGTAAAAGATTAAATTGTCTGACATTTTGAGAAGTCAAATAATATATTACATCAAAGTGAGAACTCAGTTCTACAAAAGATGTAACTACAAAACTATCTAGCATAATCAAAAAAATACCATAAATAAAAGCTCTTGGATTCCTCCTTATCAGAAAGATAGAAGGGAAGGTCTAGGTATATTTTAGAATAAGAAAAAGCTTGGAAAGGTATGGAAAATTGTGACTTTTAACCAAAATAAGAAACACAATATAGGATCAGAAGGGACATAGGGAATTTCCTGGTAAGTACTTGTGTAGTATGTGCAAGGTATTCATGCAGTTAAACTAGGTTTATGTTTGGATTTTTCTGGTGGGCTTGGATTTTGGTTAATTTTGGAGGTTTTCTCATTGGTTTTGCTTATTTACACTTATTGCAGCGTATGGCAAGTTACAAACTTCGAACATTTCTAATTGATCTGTCGAGGACATGATGGGAAAATAACATAACATACAATGGGGGGGATGTTTATCCTATCCTGGCCCTCAAAATAAAAGCATGAATTCATTGTCCAAAAGAGTTCTCTGAGGTTTTGCTCTTAACACAGATGCTACTAGTGAGTTACTTAAGTGCTAATGAGCACTGTGAAGAAATTATAGTAATTTACAACTCTGCTTCAGTGTGATTTTTCAGCTGAACATAATTTTCGTGTGCGTCTTTATTGATTTAATTATTTTTTCCTCAGAAAGCATAAGTGATGGTTTAATAAAACCCATGAAGTGAAAAGTTGCGAGTCGTGTAAACACTGGTTCTTTTTCTTTTAAAAAAATTCTAAAAATCAAGTATTGTCAGTGCCAGAAACAAGGTATTTTTCTTTCTCCCTGCCCCGTAAAGGTGTAGCAGAGAAGACACAACTTCTGAAACTAAATGTTCCTGCAACCTTCATGCTTGTGGCTCTGGATGAAGGTCCAGGCCCTCCAATTAAATACCAGTATGCTGAACTGGGGAAGCTGTACACAGTCGTGTCACAACTGATCCGTTGCTGCAACGTGTCATCGAGGATGCAGTCTTCTATCAATGGTACAGTGGATTTTAAGTTTTCCTTAGATTAACTGACTGGATCAGTAAATGTCTTTTTGTGCATAGTTAGCTATTATTTGTAAAGTGGATTAGCTGGAAAAACGTTTTCCTTTTGTGTTTTAGCAACTCCTTTCATTTAAAGGCAGAAATTTGTTTCTCATAAGCAAAACTGATTTGCTGTACTAAAAAGCCCAGGACAGAAATCTGTTCTGTATTTTATGCTGCATGGTTTATTCCTTAAAGATACAGGAAAATAACTGATTCATAAAGCAGGAGGTTGTTGATTACAAAATAATAATGGTTTTAGAATAGTTTAAGCACATTGTAAAGAGTTGCATAAAGATACTTTTATTGCAAGTAGGCAATGAAAAATAGATTATAAAAGTAATCTGTACAGGAAAACCACCATAGCAGGCTCTGAGATAGCTAATAATGCTTATCATGAAGAGATGTTGCAATGTTGTGGGTAGCTCTTGAATATGATTTGGTGCTTGTTCACACTCAAGACGACAAATGGAAGTCAGCACTTTAATTTATGAAAGATAAAGAATCAGCTAGAAATTGATTAACCACAGTGTAAATCATTAATATCTCCAGTGGCTGAATAGAGTGCAGTTATTTTTGAGAAATGGTGACAGAATATTGGGCCATGTGGACTTTATAGCCTGTATATGTACATGTTCTGTTAAGCATATTTTAGAAAACCTAGTTAGGAATCTGTAGAGAAGCTATTTAATGGCAAACTCATTACAGCTTGATGTGTCAGGCTATAAAGTCAATAGGCTAGAATGTGCTGTAGTGAGATTAATGAACTGAAAATTTTACTGTGCTATAATAAGCTTCAGAATCATTTGGCAGTTTTGATCGGGTTTGTTTCCAGAGCACTATATGAAGCTTACACTGAAAAGATATTCTACCTATGAAAAATAATTGTATATTCACTGTATTCATGACATTGTAGTGAAAAAATTTACTTTGTCTGAACATCATTCTGGCTACTAATTATGATTACCGTTTGCAGAATAAAGTTATTTTTTGCTTCAGCATATTAAGGTAGAGAAGTTCTCCCTTGGACTGTGGGCATCTTCAAACAATAATTCAAAACACTGCGAAATTCAGAAACATCAGGAGCAAATCAACAGTCTTTCCTTACACAAAACAAAGCTTACTAAATAAGATGCATTAATTTGTATTCTTTCGAAAGTGTATTACTTCAGTACACTCCAGAGATTCAGATGGGACTGTTCTGACATAGATATTCCTCTGAACAGTTTTGCATTGTCTTATGGAGTAAATAGATGTTGTGTCCTTAAAGTATGACAGGTTTGGGCTGTGTTACACAAGCACTGAAGCAGATAAATTCAGGAGATAAGAGGATTTCACTGAGGAAAACTAATGATTTTTCTTCTGGCATATGAACATGTCTCCAGCTGTTCTGCTTTGATTGTCACTGCATAATCTTATCAAAGAGGAAGAAGTAGCTCTCTCAGGCAGCAAGTGTCAAGCTTCACAATCATGAAAATTAGTTATTTCATATGATATTTTTTTCAAAGAAAATCATCTGTGAAGGGAGGATTTGTGCTTTTTCTCCATCTATTGTTTTTGATGAGTTACACCAATTTATATTTTGGAGTGACTACACTTGAGAGTACTTCAGTACCTTTTAATCTGTAATAACTGTTTGTTCTAGGTAATCCCCCACTTGCCAACCCTTATGGTGATCCTAATTTATCTCAGCCTATAATGGCACTTCAGCAGAACGTAGCAGACATTCTGTTTGTGAGAACTAGTTATGTGAAGAAAATTATTGAAGATTGCAGCAACTCTGAAGAGACCATCAAGTTGCTTCGTTTCTGCTGTTGGGAGAACCCTCAGTTCTCTTCCACAGTCCTCAGTGAACTACTTTGGCAGGTAAAAATAAAAAGCCAGGAGAAAGATGGGAATATAAATGTGTATGATATAAGATTCTGTACTTAGATGTGAGTGTTGTATTGAATACTGAACGGGTGCTTGATAAATAAATGTTCCTTAAGATGGCATCCTCTGACAGTATTTACACTCTTAGGTCTGTACATCATGTTGAAGTACTAAGAGAAGTCCTTTTGTTAGTTTAGGAAAGCAATCAACCTTTAATGAGTCAGGAATGCTGTGTTAAGGATGGAAAGTAGAACGTGGTGGTCTTTATGTATTCCAAGAGTATCACCTAAAGACTTTCTGTCATTATACATAAAAGAACTTCTTAAATTACTTGGAGAGCTAGACTAATTTTTTAAGATCTCCCTTGTATTCATTTCAAGTATGTTCTTAAGGTTCTCTTTTACAATTTTGCAGAACATACTTGGCTTCAACCTCAGCAAAGAAATATAACACAGCAAGGTCTGTGTTATATTTCCTTTCTAATCTCTGTGAGGTCAGTCACACTTTTCCACTCCCAATAAAATTTTTGACTTCTATTAGGACATCTTTCTATTCACCCCTTTTTTTTTCATGTAAACATCACATTTCAATATGTCTTCTTTTTTTTTGGCACTTGAAAGAATCATAATAAAAATCACTTTACTGATATTTTGCTAGCCATATATTTTACATTTTAGGATAACCTTTGAAGATAACCTTTGAATACATTGCCTAAAAGTAGCAATACCAGTGCAAAATGCCATTTTGCAATTTTGCTTTTCTGAAGGTATTTTTAAAGGTAGTTTCTTCAGCATCTCATGCTTGGGGCACCAGATCAATTGTATAAGGAAGTCATGAGGAAACATTTTGTCCTTTACATAACTTAATATATTTACAGACAAAACAAATATTGAACAAAACCACAACCCCCCAAATTCCCGCCACAATCAGCACTTTTTAGAAAAAGTCTTGTATCTTGAATTAATCTTCGTATTAATTTTATTCTTGTACTGCACCATGTACACTGCAGTGCTTCAAGAAATGCTTTCTTATATTCTCTGCATTTTCCCTTTTTAAGGTTGCATATTCATATACATATGAGCTTCGACCTTATTTGGATCTGCTTCTGCAAATCCTGTTAATTGAGGACTCTTGGCAAACTCACAGGTCAGTATTTACCTGTCTTTTTATAATTCAGTATTGTTTTGTACAGATTGTTTTTCCAGTGGTTCTGTTACTAATCCTTTAAGAGGTTTGTTTTAAATAAATCCTAAATCAAAACACACAAATGAAGCATTTTTTCTTGTTTTTCTCACAAATTTTGAGATAAGTACTATTTTTCACCTTGACCTTCCTTACTATTGAGACATTTGCTGCGCAGTCCTATAAAGCCAAGATTTTTCATATAGAAAAGAATGTGCAGTTTAGGCTAAACTTATTGGTGCCTAGATTGATTCTTGGAAACAATCCCAGCCTGGTCTTGCTAAGGAGCACATCAGTTGCAAGAGTGATGCCAGGGGATGTATAAAGTGTGAACGTGGGACCAGAGCATTCCTACATAAGTCTTCTCTGTGTGGTCACATTTCAAGAGAATTTTAACTTCAACATATTATATATTAATCCAATTTGAAACCTAGTTTTTATGTGTCTACAGAATAAAGCTTTTCAAAATTGAGATTAAAAAAATGTAATTATTGTAAATACTGGCTATTTGTGATAACAGTCCATTTTTCAAAAGTTTTACATAAAAGACATAGGTGAGATAACACAAAATAAATGTCATCAACATGCTACCTGTCAGTATTTCAGAGTGTCACTGTTTCATAATAAGTGGTTATAGGTAGTATTGGATTTACTAAATAATTTCCAACTGTGTCTCATAGGACATTTAAAATACTTGAAGTAAGAGCACACTTGCTGTGTGCAGTGAAGGTATGGAAGTGGACTCCTGTCCTTAACCTGTGGAATTAGACTGCTCCTTTAGGATGTTATCAGTTGCCTGGCCTTAGTTTAGAAGGGAGTCAGGGAGGGTGGTGGTTTGGCTTAACCACACTCCAGAACATGACAACTGAGTTGTAGGAATTTCTTCTTTTTCTTTAGAGGAATTACAGTTTAGGAAAGTGACAGAAATACCCTTTACACACAGGCTTTCCAGTTTTGCATGTATATGTGTATGTAATGCACATATCATGCAGTTTGCTTATATTTTCTTCTTGATAAACAAATATTTCCATAGGATGTGTCTTAAGTCCACAGAATGCTGGAGGATGGACGTACTTAAGTGGATATGAAGTAAAATAGTATATTTTTAGGGTTTAACTGCAGGTGAGAAATCAGTAAATGGTTGTTGTGGATAATGCTACATTTAAAGTAACAGGGTGTGAAGGGTGTTGAATGTTATAGTGTGGCTTCCCTGGAAAAGTACATCACTCCATGTTCAAGACTGCAGTCTGAGGAGTAGCACTGTTGTATGGAATTGTGTTAGGCTTCAGCAGAGGAGTATTAAATGGCCACCTGCAGTCATCCCCTGACTGAAATACTGGTTTGGTGCTGTTCTTGGTTTTGCTGTGATAATCAGAGAGTTTAAATGATCTTTGTCTTCTCTTTAAAAAGAACAAACAAAAAACAAGCCACCACCAAACAAACAGCAAAACTGTCCATGGTAAATGGGGTCTTGTAACTCCTGGAAAACAAACATCATCTGACCTCAGGCAGTGTGTGTGTCCCTCGGTGCTCCTCCTCTTCTGGCACTGCCAGGTCACTGCTGCTGTTCCTTGGCGTCAGACCCACTCTCTTAAATTTTTCTTGATTTGACAAGTTCAGGTGCTTAGTTTGGGATAATAATGTTCCAAGTGCCGTTAAGTTAAAATAGCTGAAGTAGAGCTCGTCATGGCTTTTGGATGGAGCCTGGGCTCACGGCTGCCTGCAGTCTATTCACTGCCTGTGCCAGGGCTGTGAGGAAAGAGGGCAGTTGCTTTTCCTACCATGAACGTAGCTCTTTGAGACTTCTTTTTCAGAGCCAAAAATATGTCAGTTCTCAGTTTTTGCACAGTTTCAGGGTGGCAGTTAATTTCCCTACCCCCTGTTTGAGAGCAGAAGGCAGAGAAACTGGGCTTAGTTCCAGGGAATGCCCCAGTCCCTTTTTCCCAGGGACAAATATGTACCAGTTCCTCTTCAGAGGAACTGCATGTAAAAGAGTGCATCTTTGAGAAGCATAACTAAGTGTAAGTAACCATTCTGTTGAGGATTTAACTGTTCCAGTTTTGTAAGGACTGTAAGGTTAAACAGGACTGTTTTGCAAATGCAGTATACTTTTAAAATAAGTAGTAAAAATTAACCAGTTACAGTTGATTACTATGATTAGAATTAATCATACTTACATTTTTATATATATCTTGTTCTGTTAGTTTAAATACTACCAAACATGCTAAAAATGTTACATATATGATATGTCAAGTTTGTCTTCTGATTTTAAAAAAACCTCTTGACTAACACCAGAAGTCAGAACACAAGCTGCCCCTTTTATAATTACAATATAAGTGGAGCCTTAATTCAAACACTGAAACTCTTTAACACTTGAAGTGTTGTTGTTGTTTTGGTTTGATTTTTTGTAGGATTCACAATGCACTTAAGGGAATCCCAGATGACAGGGATGGACTATTTGACACCATTCAGCGCTCGAAGAATCATTATCAGAAAAGAGCTTACCAGTGTATAAAGTGCATGGTAGCTCTCTTCAGCAACTGTCCTGTAGCTTACCAGATCCTTCAGGTGATACCTTTCATTCTGTTTCTTGCTGCTTTTTCCTAGTGCTGTGGGTTTTAAAATTAAAAAAATTTAACAATTAAAAAAACAAACCCCACCATTATACAAACCCCACCATTATTCGTTTTTTATCACTTTGATGAAATTGCAACTTTGAAGTACAACTCATTTGAACCTTCCTGTATTAGAAAGTCAGTATATGGGGTTGAAAGCAATTTGTTTAAATTCACACTCATGATTCTGTGATGCAGCTGCAAATCCACAGACTTCATTTCAAATTTGAAGTTTTCTTTGTGCAGTATAGGATATCTGGGGACTCTTTCAAAACAGCAGCAGATGGGTTGGTGGCCTGTTCTCTAATAGCTGATGTATAAGAAAGGAAAATTATTTCTCTTTTCAAGATTAAAGGAAATAATTTTGAATTGTTTCTTTTCCATCTGCAGAGCAATGGAGATTTGAAGAGAAAATGGACCTGGGCAGTAGAATGGCTTGGAGATGAGCTCGAGCGTAGACCATACACTGGCAATCCCCAATACACCTACAATAATTGGTCTCCACCAATACAGAGCAATGAAACATCAAATGGCTACTTCCTAGAGAGGTCACACAGTGCTAGAATGACTCTTGCAAAGGCTTGTGAACTCTGCCCAGAGGAGGTAAAGAATTAATTTGACTTCAGTAAAAAAATTGAGTAAAATGCTTCTGTAAACAATTAAGCTTAGCAACAGTCTCTGGTCATTGAAGAGGCAACAGATTTCATAAGTGTTTTCTAAATGCGGATTTATATTTTTATTGACTTCAGTTACATACTCCTGTGTATTTTTCAGCTTTTATTAGTGTTTCTGTAGGCATCTGTCACTTGGAGAATTAGCAATGTGGAACTGGAATTGAACACTTAAAGTAGATTATGAATGGGTCTGTATTTCCAGTAGTATATTTACAGGGGAGTTTTTATGTAGTACAGTACAAGCTGTAGGTGACACTGTGGAGTGGAATTTTTCTCCAGGCATGTCTGAAACAATCACTTCCACATAGGATTTGTTCTGGGTAGAATAATTGTAATATGTTTTACCAAAGTAAATTAAATGGGTTTTTTCAAACTTTAGGAACCAGATGATCCTGATGCCCCAGATGAACATGAGTCTTCTCCACCTGAAGATGCCCCACTGTATCCCCATTCACCTGGTTCCCAGTATCAACAGGTAAAAGCTCTGAGTTGAACCATTTATTCAGAGTTTCAGGTTTGTTTTTTTTTTCTTTAGCATTTGTGGTAACTTATATTATAGGCATTTAGCCAGAAGCATATTATTGTCAAATATCACACTTGGAGGGATAAAGATAAAGGTACATCTCCATTTTGCCAGGAGCAGTTACACCATATGAGAATTTTATCAGATCAGGGATTAATCATCCACAGAAAGACCTGAGGGACTGATGTCATCACAGTGACTGAATTTGATTCTGTCATATTTATTGACATTGATAATATTTAGTGAGTTGCTTACTTGTTTTCAAATATAAAATCAAGCCTCAAAGCCTGAATTTCAGTTTGGATAATTGGAAGGCTTTTGGAAAAAAGCAAATGGCTTTGTGCTATGAACAATGATGTCTAAATCTTAAGTACATACAAAATCTAAATCTGTTTTTACGTTAAATGCCTGCTTTGTTAATATTTTCTGGTGGAAAGCTAGATCTGAAAAAAATCCTTACCAGGGTTTTTTTTATCGAATTGGCTAATTACTAGATCCTGCACTTAGTTGCCATTTTTTGTTCCAATTCATTTTATATATTCCAAATCTGCTAATTTAATTTCCTTTCCTGCCCAAATCCATTTTCCCCTCCATCTTGCTTTCCTTACTTGATGTTCTCAGCAGAGCAGTTGGTAAGTCATGCAGATTTTCCCACTCCTTTCTGAGCTCCCAAGTTCGGACACATTCTGTAACCTCACCATTATCCGTGTGATGTGTTCACTTTCTTGCAAGAGATGGCATTTCTCACTAACACACACAATCCTCATATTCCTAGTTTCTCCACAAACTCTGCAGAACAGTAGATAAATGAGGTGTTTTTGTTGGCCAGATCTGTGTATGACTTCTTAAATTGGGGCAGAGCATCTGCAGAAGACTGCTGGTCTAGATTTCATTCAGTTCTGTAATGTTGAATTTATCCTCTTAAAAATTAAAGTGTGCTGCATAAATACAGGTATGCTTTTTCCATTGTTTTAGGAAAAAAAATCAAGCTGATTGAATCTGTTAATAAAATATATGCACAGTTTAATGTGGCAGCACGTAGGCAATCTCTCTTCGTCTCCTTTTCTTTCTTTCTTGCTACTTTTGCTTTGCATGTAACTGTTTGTTATTCAAAAGCTGAGATTGCTATTTCAGCTGATCTTGTACCTTTACAGTTGAATGTTTGTTTACCTTCTGTGTAAATCAGAAAGGTAAGTGAAAGGTGTGGATCAGAGGAATGAAGAAGCTGGGATGTGTGTTCATACTGACGTTGCCACAGGAGAAGTTCGGTGTGCTTGAGGATACGGTTCAGTGGTCTGAATGGAAAGGGGGAAAGCAAACAAGGGAGGAAACATCCCACAAGTTTAAAGCCCCTTTAAACTGTTTCTGTTTTCTTGCAGAATAACCACGTGCATGGACAGCCATATACGGGCCCGGCAGCACATCATATGAACAACCCTCAGCGAACTGGCCAACGAGCACAAGAAAACTACGAAGGCAGTGAAGAAGTTTCCCCGCCTCAGACAAAAGATTAGTGAAATGCACATAATCAATTAACTTGCTCCATCAAGACTGTGCACCCAGGCCTTACAGTCCAACCTTTCTCTGTGTCTGGCTAATATTTAAAACTAGAAAAACTATTCCTAATCAACATGGAGTGGAGAGTCTATTCACTGTCTTATCTGCAGAAAATTTGCTGTCAATATATAACCCGCCTGCAGTGGAAAGTGTATAGTGTTTTGTAATAAATGGCCTGATGCTAATGTGTAAATGGCAAAGGTGTATATAGTATATTAATGTTTGACTGTTAATTCTTGAGCAAGAAACATTTTTTTTTGTCTTGATGAGACTCACAGATCTACAAAAACAAAAAAATAATTTCTTGATATATCTGCTGCGCTCTGCAACCAGTGTTGCCTGCCTCATGGCAGTTGGATCAACTCCTTTATGAAAAAGCCTATCCATGTCAACCACAAAAATAGTTTCATGTTAATTCTTTGCCACTGGAGTCGATTTTACTATGAGCAACGTAATGGCTGGTAACCTTTTAATTATTTGGTTGATGTGGAAAATTGGTGATGTAACATTGTTTCTAGATCTTTTTTCATTGCCTTTTTCATTCTGGTATTAGGTTAATCACTTTGAAGCTATAGTTATGCTGTAACATTTAGCATGGCTTCACACCAAGTTAGTGTAGCCAATGAGGGGAAAAAAAAAAACAAAAACAAACGTGACAGCAGTTGTCCCAATGTGACAACTGTATTGCTCAGAACTTTTTCTTCTTACACCTAGACTATAAAATGGGGAGGGAAAATGTGACAAACAAGTGGTTTTCAGTTTCACATATGTTCCTCACATCTGATGTTTGACAGTTCTCTCTCTGGGTGGGATAAAGAACACTTAGTTTTCAGTAATAGGAATTTAAAAGATTTAAAACAAATATGCAAAAATTTGCTATGCCAGGATGCCTGGAGCATAATAGACTGTATTTGGTGTGCTTGTTTTGTTTCTTTGGTAGAGCTTATTAGATAAATTTCTAACACTTTCCTTCTACTGCATCCCAGTGAAGTGGAAGTCAACAAAATCACAGAGTACTTGTGAGTGCCACTGCACCAAGTTAACTTGCTGGTTTTCTGCTCGTTCACAGTTCTACTTGAAAGCGAGAATTGTCTTAGCTCTTTATCCATTATACAGAAAATCTTAACATTAGAAGCAGGGTTTAAAGATAAAAGAAACTACTGGTTAGTCAAATACAATTCTGAGGTATCTCTATTCCAGAATAAACATTTGTTTAAAGACTTAAAGAAACGCATCAGTAAATACTGTATTTAAATGAAAATTGGTAACTTGAATGTGTGTAATTTTTTTGGAACCTGTCTAAAAACCAAATACCCCTGCAAAACAGATACAGCCCACCCTATACTATTTAAATATTTTGCTGTTTTATTTTATAGAAATTATTTTGCTGAATTCACAAATAGATTTGATTTAAGAAGAATGTTTTGTCCTGTGGTGTGTGTTGTTTTTTGGGGTTTTGTTTTTTAATGGACTGCACAGAAAGGTGAATTCTGTGCAGTGGCACTATGCTGAATTCTGGAACAACAGTCACATTGAGATTCTGTGCACAAAAAAAAAAAAATTGGCCCTTAAGAATAAAATAATCAGGACAATTACACTGTAAAAGTTTCTTAATGTGATTTATCTTGTACTTTTTGTATGTTTTTATATATACATATATATATTTAAGAGCACAAGCTTGATGGTGTTTTTTACAAATGAGTTGATAGAAACAAAGCTGCTTATCAAATTAAAGGTCTGTAGTTTTGAAATGAACAATGGCAAATCCAGTTGCAAGTGCATTCTTAGGCATTTAGTGTAACAAGGGAGGGACACAGAAGATTTTTGAATATGCTTGTGTAGTGATGATCACTTTTATGCTTCCATGTTTTTCCTAGTGCTAAAATTAATTCAGATTTTTTCATAGTTTTTTAGTAACACCATTTTACCTGGACTTAGTAAATTTGAATAAAGTGTTCCCATTTATGTTTGGGAATGCTTGTTGGAGGTTTTAACTAAAAAAAAATTCTACCCTGAGTTCTCAAGTTGAAATAGTTCATATTTATTTGGACCAGTAATTGTTAAACAAGCTATCTCAGAGGCAATTATTACATATTTTTTACTATATAGGTAAAATATATAATGTGCTAGTTCAGCCTTGCCAAATGTGTTTGCTTTTAATAGTGCAATGATTGTAGAGACATGTCAAACCTGTGACACTTTAAGGCTGTGGCTTTCTTCAGCCGTACCCACCCCTGTCCCTGAACTGGGAATGGCTGCAGTGGCAGTTGTTTTTTTGAGGCAGCAAATTGAGAATATTGTGCATCTTTGTGACGTGAAGAAGGATAAGCCCGTCTTGTTTGCTGCAGCTGCTGCTTTTAGAACAGGTGTAAGGTGCAATGTTTTCTTCACTCTGGGCAAAACAGTTTTGAATTGTACTTAACAAATACTGTACAAGCAAAAAGTTTGATATGCATGTTACTGGTGCAGCATCTTGGCAGGTGATTTTCAGGCGACACACCTGGTGATACCTCGTTGGTGATGGCACACACTTTAAAGCAGTCGTCCTCAAAGTGCCTAAAGATTTAATTCCCCCCTCACTAATTTCAGTCCTGTTTTTCTGTTCAGAACAGTTTCTAGGGAATCTCTGGTCTTCCATAAAACGAGCCAATAAATAGTAAAGCAATTACTCGTGTTCCTGGCAGTGTAACACGGAATACATAGAAACTGAGAATCCATAGGTGATGTTAAATGGGGTTTAATGTGTAGTTTGACCTCAAGGGTCAAACTTAACCCCTACTACTACTCTTGTGCGTTTGGATTGTGGTTGTTTAGTGACTAAAATAAGCTTTTTAACACTTGCTACTTGTCAGTGTTAAAAATAGTACAGCCATATATAAAAGGAGTTCAGTCACTGTTGGCGTATCAGTAAATGTGCTACGTTTCAGTCACAGAGTTGGTCACCTGCACCTGTGTTACCCTTTGACAACAAGGAGATGGCTCAGGGTTCAGTCAGAGCTTGTTTGTCCTGCAGGACCCGATCTCGTGGTGATGGACAAGCAGAACAGGACTCTGCTTGACTTGGAATTTTTTACATTATTCTCCCTGCTGACTGCCAGCTCTGAAAATTCGAGTTCTCTGTTTTTCAAGCTGGTGTATCTTACTGAAATGGAGCCAGAAAGAAAATAAATTCCCCAATGACATTTCTCTTTTTTTTTTTTTCCCCAAAGTGAAACTTCAGACAACATGAGAGATTTGTGTTATCATAATTGCTGTTATGCCTTCTCAGCCACTTTGTTGTGCCTAGCTTGTGTGTTTTAGCATATGTATCATGAAAAAGCACTTATGGTTCCAAAACTTCCTATATATTTCCTGAGCTCCAGGAGAGAATGAGATTAGCCATTCTGCCAAAGCTAAAATGGGCAAAAATTGGCTGCTGTAGCAATTTCCTCCATTTTTGGTTTCAATAAATTTTGTCTACCTCTGAGTCTTTTGCCAGAAAGGCTGATAAACTGTGTCATGGCAAAGTGGCTCAATGTTTTTGTTGGTGTGAGTTGCAGTTACTGGGCATTGCAGGGAGGCTTTCAGTGCAATGGATTTAACTTCAAATGAAAGCTAAAGACTGACTGTAGAAATTAGGGGAACAAGTGGCATGTTAGTAAATTTGAAGAGTAACCAATTAAGTGTTTAAATATCTTAACTAAACCTTGTTAGTTCACACTTGCGAATACACATTGAAAGCAAATTCCTCCTAGTGATCAAAGACACACACCTTAATTTTTGGGAGGGTGAGATGCTGATGCTTATCTCACATTTCTTAAGACAGGTGAGGGAGTTTCCCTTTTATGGCCCAGCTTCAGCACAGTGTAATCAGGACAACAGTAATTTTTGGCTCCCCATCTTCTTACTTTCTATGCTCTCCATCATGTTCATGATACCACTTTTTTCACAGCCATGAGGTCTTGGGAACAAAGTCCTGCCTTCTATAGGGCCAGGCAAGACAGGCTTTCTGGGGAGCAGTAGGAGCTGTCTTGTACGTGCTGTGTGCTGCACAGTGGTGCTGCAGGAACAAAGCAAGGGCAGAGCAACCCAGCTGCTTCCTCCTGCAGGGTTTCTGATCCTCTTCCAGGTGGTCTCATGAAGAGGACAACAGCAAGCCCCTCTTTTAGGCTCAGTGCACTTTCTCCTGGTTTGCAGCTGGGATCAGAGCACACTGGAGCAGTGACCTCCCTGTGTGTGCCCTCTGTGCCATTCCAGGGTGTCCATGTCCCTGCCTTCTCGTGGTCTTTGGGGATTGTCATGTCAGTTCAGTCACTTACACTGGGACTTGCCCTCTATTCCAGCCTGGACAGCTGTACTGGGCTGGAAGGGCTTTAACCAACCCCAGCACTGTCACTTTTCACACTGTGGAGCTTTGTAAGGTTCACAGCATAAATGCCCTTTTATTTCTGAGTCAGCTCCCTCGGGGTGACTGTTTTAAAGTGTCAGTAGCCATTCCTTTGTCCTTTTCTACTGGAGCAACTGCTCAGTCCCACTCCTGCAGTGTGTGTTAGGGTAGGCTGTTCGTGGAATTGTGTTGATGTATTTTCCAGCCGTTAAATTCAGAAATCCTCATCCTGTAATCTGATTTTCTAATGCAAGTTGTGATGGATCCCTGGATTTCAACAGCATTTGTGCAAGTTCAGTTGATTTAAGCACTGCAGGAATGGAAGTTGGTGACGTGTTGCAGGGGTCAAGCCAGATCAGTCAGTGGGTGGCACAAAAGACAGATCTCTCTCTTGTTTGCAGACAGTGAAATCAAAACAAGAACGAGGGAATGAGTTTCTGAAGGAGAAAAACACTCTCCTGAATAAGGGCTAACTTTTCATTGGATTTTTAAATACCCAATTCCGTATTTTTTAGCTTTAGAATTCCTTAGAGCCACTTTTTGATAATAAAACTGACCTACAGGCTGTTTCCTTGGAAGAATTAATATAGCCTTAATCACATCAGCACAATTCTGAAGTGACAGGGTCATTCTTCAGTGGTCAAAATAATGTGCAAAAAATGTCTCCTAGTCTTTAACCATGAGCTAACCTTGAGGAATGGAAATAAGAGAAAAAAGGGTCTGTGAATTCGTCCAAAATCTAATCATAGAAAAATAAGATCGTTCCCTTCTTCTCTGTCTCTGTACTATTCAAAATGTCTGGTAGTGTTAATTTTTGTTCTTAAGTTTGCAACAGCTATCCCAGTAACTTGGTTTGTGTTGCCCAAAGTGGTGTCAGCTGCACAGTCTGCAGCATCCTGATGGGTTTAGTCCTCACCAGAGGAAAGCCTTTAAATGTTTGGGTTTTTTCCCCAAATCCACATTTCCATTGTGATGTGCTGTTTCTGTTTCCATACAATGCCCAGGGCTGGAAGAATGCTTTCCAAGTGTGGTTTCACCTGAGCCATTAAGCGAGCAGTTCTGTTCCCTTGCTGTAGTGACACCTCTGTAGGTGCAGCTTTTAAAGGTATCGGCCTTCTTTTCGTAGCTTTATTTATTGAAATGCTGCTCAGTTCTTGTCCCTCCACCCCTAAATTCCTGTCCATCATTTCTTGTGATTCTTTCTTACAGAATTTTTCCGCTCTGGATTGTAAAGGTCATTTTTATATTTAATATTTTTGTATTTTCTTGGAATCAAATCCCTTCACTTGCCATGATGTTGTTTACCTCCTTTTTTTTCTTTTACTTACACCTGTTGTCCTGCTGTTTGCTGCTGCAAAAAAAAAAAAAAAAATGCTTGCCAGGCAGCCTCCAAAGCAGAGCTTTTTACTGTGCAGTAGCAGCAGCCTTGACCCAGGTGGGCTTTGTCATCTCTCAAATCTCCTCGTAATTTGTGTGGGATTGGAAAGCTTTGTGCTACTGATGGCAGCCAGGAATTCTAATAGCTTGTGGCTTATTGGGTTTCTTCAGTTGATTAGTTGGTTGGGTTTTTTTCCCCCTTCATTTTCTATCTTGAACAGTTGGTTTGTACAGGTGAACAAAACCAGTAGGTTTTGCTGGAATCTACTCTGGAAAAGAAGGCTGATTGAAAATGTGGACACTTAATATACTTGATTGTATTTAAATATCTGGTAGGTGCTTTAAAGTCCTCAGAAGGTCTTCTGGAAGCAAATTCTAAAGCTTAGAAATGTGAAGACTAGGTCTTCAGGATTTAGTGATAGAAATTCTATCAGCCTCCCCTGTGCGTGGTTAGGGACAGGTGAAATAGCAGAAATGGGAGTATTTCCCTGAAGGGAGAGGTCATGCTCTGTGAAATCCCTGGGGAACTGGAAATGGGCTTTTCTCTGGCCCCACACACCCACTGGCAGCAGCTTGTGAGCCCTCCCGGTGTGAACTGTCCTGAACCACAGGATCCCCGGGAACCGAGGAGCTGATTCCTGGCAGGAACTTGAGATTAAGTAGCATGTAAAGCATTTTCTATCCTTTTTCTCCTCTTAAGATCTGTACCAAGTCGAATCCTCTGAGCAAATACAGGGAGTGGGCTGAGTGAGGGGCTTCCCCAGCTGCCTCTGTGAATACTTTCTACCTCTTGACGTTCTTTGCCGGCTGTTCCGCCGGGAGCGGCTCCAGCAGCGCGGGAGCTGCTGTGGGTCGGGCCAGCACAGGTGCACAAAGACCTGGTGGGGCTGTTTGCTGGGCAGGCACGGGCAGTCCCTGCCTCCCCTGGGGATGTACGGGATCATTTGGGGTACCTGTGTTTGCATCAAAGTGGAGGAACTGGCATTTTTCAGGTGGCACCACATGGACTCACAAACACTCCTTACTCAGCCTCTCGTGCTGCCTCAGTTCCCGTGTGGAGTAGCATCAAATCCGTTCACAACTAATGTTCAAATAATGGAACTGTAGGGAGGAACTTGGGTTTCCAGCTGGGTTTAGAAAGGGAGGGATGTGGGAGTGTGAAAAGCCAGGGTTCTGCAGATCAACCCAGGTGTTTATCTAGAATAAAAAAATGTTTCTGATTGCTACTGTGGTTGTGTGTAAGACTGAAATGCTGAAAGAGAACTGTGTAACCCTCCCACTCCGAGTCTGAGAGAGACCTGGCATTGGCTTTCTGAACACTTCTGCAACCTGAACCAAAAACCTGCTGTGGGAATGTAGACTTACCATAGAGTTGTGGAAGAAAACTTCAATCGTGTCACTTCTCTCGGTCTTCAGAGCAGTCAACATGGTTTTGATGTAGGTTTTAGATTATGTATATATAAATCTTATTGAAGTACCAACAGCAAACCATAAATAAAATGTGGACTTAATTGAAGAATGGGCTAGTGGAGGCCTCTTGTGTTGAATTTATTAAAATACAATCTAACAAAGTTGTTGATGGAGGAGACTCGCTGTGATGAAGACAGGGAAATAATAGCTGGGATGTCCTCAAGTTGGGAAAGTAGCCAGGTTTGCTGCTGCCTTTGAACCTGTTGTAGCACCTGAGGACCAGCTTGATTGTGCTGTAGTGGCTGGAGAAGAGCTGGATGCATGGAAACGCTCCTGGGTATCATCCCACCTTCATGCCTGCTGAGGGCCAAAGGCTTCCGTGAGTGGCACCGGCCTCTCCTCGGAACGAGGGGTTATTCCAGGGACAGGTATCCTCTCACATTCCAGGCTGGCAGAAGCTGCTGCAGCTGCTGCAGAGCTGCTCTTACCCTGTTTCCACAAGGTGCCCATTGCCCAGTTGCTTTGCTCTGCCAAGGCCATCACCTAAAGGAATGTGAGGTGGGTGTGAAAGAGCTATGGGAAACCTCTGCTTCTCTGTGTTTGCCCTTGAAGATTTGTAAATGAAAATGCAAATTACTGGGAATTTGTAGTACTGACATTAAATAAACCTGTTTGAACAAGACATCATGGAAGCAGGTAACACAAGAGGTTCCACCTCAACATGAGGAAGAACTCTGTGTTGAGGGTGGTGGAGCACTCGAACAGCTGCCCAGGGAGGTCGTGGAGTCTCCCTCTCTGGAGACATTCCAAAGCCACGTGGACACAGTCATGTGTCACCTGCTCCAGGTGACCCTGCCTTGGCAGGGGGGCTGGACTGGAGGATCTCCAGAGGTCCCTTCCAACCCCAACAGTTCTGTGATTCTGTAACACCTGAGTTTGTGGGTCTGTTCAGTCAGTGTCACCCATCTGAGGGGACCTGCCTGTGAATTCTTGGACATCCACGTGTTAGCAAAAATGAGAATTCAGGATACACTCTGGATGAATCCCAACCGGTCACTACTGGTTGGGGGGGGGTTGTTGTAAACTGGGAGAAGAAAGCTTTTGATGAAGGCAGCAAAAATGCAAAGTGACTCCTACAAATGTTTCTGTTCTCACATATCTCTCTGAGAAACTGTTAATGCCACAGGACAAAAAAAGCCTTTTTTTTAATTTAACTTCTATGGAGGCTATAATGATTTATTGATCACCAGACTCCTTGAAACCTTTCAGAATTTGGGCTCCTGTGGTTTTTACATTAGCTGAAAATACAGCCCAAAGCATTTTCCTTAGATTTGACAGATACTTACCTGGTAACTTCAGCATAACAGCATCGTTATCTTATTGCTGAAGCTGGTTTGCCTCTGATCTTTTTTGCAGAAACTCTCTGGATGTGTTTGCTCTGACTTTTTTCTACCTCACACTGCTTCCTTGCATCTCCTTTTGCATTTCCTCCCTCCCTGCACCAGGGGTGTGGCAGATTGTGGATCCTCCAGAATTGCTCCCCCCTTCTGGTTTATCAAGGGTGGGCAGGAAGGACTGGGAGATGGTGCTGTGGAAAGCCCTGGAGCAGGGATCCTTCCCCATCCCTGGGTGAATTCCTGCTCCTGCCGTGTGAGTCTCAGCACAAGGTAGAAATGTTTGGTCTGCGCAGGAGCCTTCAGGCTGCGGAGGCGTTGAAAGGGGATAATGATGTTAATGAGAGGGTTCTGTTACTGTGAAAGATCTTGTGATACGTGTAAAAGTGTAAAGAAAATGCTGTTTGGTCTTTCCGTAGGTGGGAATTTGAAGCCCTTTTAAAGGAAGACCTTTTAGTGCTTCACTGGTATGTATCTTTTTTTTTTTCCTTCTTTTTAATTTTTTTCTTTTAGCAAACAAAGCCTTATACTGGAAATAACCTCTGAAATTTCTGCAGGAACGCTTCACATCTGTCTTTAAAACAGAGTTGGCTTCATTTCAAGATTTCTGATGTCCCTGTAACCATGCTAATCCTTACATGAAGTTTTTTATTATTATTTTGATAATAAGCACGGCTGTATTTGACCACTCATGTAGTAGCTCATGTCCTCTGTGCAGCATTAGGGCTGGGAATGGAGACACTCATCTGTGAAGTATCCTGGACAGAAACTACATAAGCAAATCAACTGTGTTCTGTCACGCTGATGAGAACTGCTCGTTTGAGCCAGAGGTTCCTGGGTATGATATATAATTAAAGTATAATTGCAATTATACAATTATGCCTGTGGCAGGGGGCTTGGAACTAGATCATCTTTAAGGTCCCATGTGTTTTGTATGCAACATTGTTTATGTTGCTAATTTACATGCAAAAGTGGTTTTGTGTTGAAGCTTCTTCAGTAGAGCTCAGACATCCGCCCACCTCACCAGCCATGGCTGTAGAGGAAGGCTCCCTGCTGCTTTGCAGTGTCCCTGTCCTGTTGAATTTCTGGTTTTTACAGAAATTCTGGATTCAGAAGGATCCACTGCCCTGCTCAGCTGAACCTCCTGACACTCCACTCAGCCCTTGCAGAGGCCAAGGACCGACTTTCACTTCAGTCCCATTTTCACATTCAGTACTTCCACAGATCCTCCCAGCTTGTTAGGAACTCTACAGTATATTTTTATGGGTATTTTATTATTCTTGTTGCATTGTTAGTTCTCTTTAACTTCCCGTCAGGTAACCTGCTGGAGCTTAAATGAGACCCTCACTTTGGAAAATATATTTCAGTTTACTTCAATTTTTCATTTTAGGTTGGCTTCTTTAAAGCCTCTGATTTTTCAGTCATTCACTTCATCTAATTTGCTCTTCCCTCCTATTTTTCATACATTTTTAGCACTGAGGTGCTAGGGGACAGAATTTTGCCCTGAGAGAGTGTTTATCTTGTAGTTGTTTTCCAGTGTCACTGTGGCTTTTTTAAGTTCCATGTTCATGTTTGTAACAGGAGACTGTACTGTTATAGTTACTCGCAACACGGGTTTGGTGATTGTACCAAAATCTCCAAAATCCTCATACCACTGTGAATTTAAAGAGACTGAACATTGCATCCTGTATATTTACATTAAATGTTTGTAGCTGCCCTCAGCACCAAAAAGTGCTAGTTTATTTATTTGTGCAATTATTCCTACCCATTGATTTAATGCACTGATCCCCTGGCTGTTGGCTGTGAACACCTGTGGGATGCTGTCAGAGCCTGGGATCAGCAGCAGAGGTGACGAGTGTCAGTAACCATCTCCCCCTTCCCTAGAAAATATATGGAGTCTAAGGGGTCCAAGCGTGGTTGGAAACCATTGTTTCTGTGAGTCCTTTAGGTCATTTAATGCAAATTGTTCTGGAATATTAAATAGTGCACCTGTTCTTCAGGTGGTGTTTGGAGGGTATGTTATATTTAGGTCCATGTCAGGAGAACACAGGCACATGAACAGCTTCTGTTCTCGTGGCAAAAACATGAGATGTGAACTTTACAAACTCTGATGGTATTGGGAGAGTATAAACAGAAACAAAACCTGTCATTGCTTTTTTTATTTCCCCCAAAGGGGATCTGATGCCTTTTTCCAAGGTGTGTGGTCTAGGGTATTTCCTTCTCTATAGACATGTGACGAGCTCCAATATTGGTTTTGTGGGTGGATATAGGAAATTACTTTTCTTGCTTTGCATTCCACTGGATTCCCACCAATGTAAGTCACTCATGTGTGAGGTCTGGCTGCAGTGCCCTCAGCACTGACCCCTGTGGCACAGCCAGAGCTGCTGCAGATCAGTGGGAGCCCTGGCTTTAGCTGTGCTCAGATGTGAATGAGCTTCAGCTGCTTTGAGATTTGTACTTTTTTTCCCCTCCAAAGGCCAGTTCAGAAAAGCTGTGAATAAAGCCATTTTGCAATAAACCTCATGACTTCTCTCTCACTGCCCTCCAAAAAGCTGACTTGGCACAGGACAGCTGTTCTTATGAGAACACAGCTTCCCAGTGGGACTTCAGTGCTACTGCCCATGTTACTACAGCACCTTGGAACATCCCACCATGAACAGCTTGCACAGGGGAGAATTTTGAAGCTGTCTGCCCTTTCTAAACACTGATGAGTAAAGGGGCAGGTTGTGTGATACCTTAAAACTTCTGAGTTTGTGCTCAAAGGGAGCATCTTTGATTTGACTGGAGCCCAATGATTCCAAAAGGAAGCCCAAACCTTACAGTGATAGTAGCTGAAACACTCCCTCTGTAAGGAGTTCTCCAACTCTCAAGCTTTTCCTCCAAAGAAACAGAGCAGATAAAAATGGAAAACCATTATGTTAAAGAGACTATGAACTTGGGAAGCTGAGCACCCTTTCACCACTTCATCCAAATTCCCAAGTTAAGCCAGGTAACCAAGGGATAACCTGACTGGTCTGTAATGCTTTGTCAGGCCTAAGCAACCCCATAACCAGGCCAGTGTTAGCATCACACCAGGGCACAAGAGCATCCACACCAAGTGTTACTCCAGCCTGCAGGACCAGCTTACAGACAAACCGCTGGCTGAGAGAATCCCCCTGCTCTTCAAGGCAAGGGGGGAAAAAAACCCTTTATCTCCACTCACAACTTGTTTATCATCCCTATTTTAGCCCCACTGCAGCTGCAGACACCACGAACTTCACACAAGCTCTGTTGGGACGAATTTATTGTGTAACCTCCACAGAGGTTGTTTAGTTCTCCTTCTCCTGCACAGTCTTTGTTCCCCTCAGCCTGCCCGTGCGACGGGCAGCGATGAGACCGACCTTGCGCCCGGCGGGAGCGTCTCTCCGGATGGTCGAGGGCTTCCCGATGTGCTGGTGGTTACCCCCTCCGAAGGGATGTTCTACAGGCTGTGGAGAGGGAAGGCAAGCCAGCAATGTAACCACAGAAACAAGTAAAGGGTGTCTAACAGCAGTAACTCAAGGGGACAGGAAGTTTAACTGCTTCGCTTTTCATGTGGTGCAGTGATTATCTCGCCCCTGCATCACACAAACTCTTTCCAAAGTGCAAGGAAGGACAGTGACTGCAAACAGACTCACGTTCATGGCCACACCACGGACACGTGGCCAGCAGTTCCTCTTGGCCTTGTACTTGTGGT